TTTTATTATATGAACCGGTGCACAATAATGTAAAATTAAAACTTAAGTTCAAAACGTTTATTACATAAAGCATGTAAACACAACTATTAATGCAAAATACAATATAACATTTTAACAAAGAGCACAGAAATTATAAAATCATGTGAGGTCACAGTGAAGGCGTGTGTTTTCATGACTTTATTTAAAGCGACAACATAAAACATCTTAATTATAAAGACTGAAAATTGTATTTCAGTATTTCATTAAACAAACAAATGATATTCTTATCGTTCAGAATGTTACTTTTAATTGCCTTTTTTTATGTCAACCATAACTTGATAATTTCAAATTAAACACGGCCTTTTGATTTACCAATGTACAAAGCTTAAATGACATATGCAAAACAATTGAATAAAGGTTGAATGAAAATAATGCAAGAATACTGCAAATTTACTGAAATATGGACCATTAACTATTTTATCAGTTACATATGTTTACAAAACGCCACTTTGAACAGACTATAGTGTATAAGATCCTACGAGTTTCGCAAGAGTTATCTCATTCCGTTTCACAAGAGTTACCCTTCTGTTGCTTCCTTGACCTTTATTTCATGTATTTCTTATTATATGCTATAATAACTATAGCAAATTGTCACAATGAAACACCTGTATTTCCTATAAAGAAATCATTTTAAATTGGCTAATAATTAATAAAAGATTTACTTCTTGTAAGTCTCTTAAATAGGATCACAGTGACCCCCACCCCTCCCCTACCTCACTTTCGGTGTCTCAATTCTGAACTCTACTTTTTTCTTCTTCTTTTTTCTCCCATGTCGAGAAATTAGTTAAATTTGATATAGGCATCTTACACGTCATACGTAGTAGGTATTTATAATCTACTTGTAAATATATGGAAGGAATTAAGTGCAGGTACAATAAACTGTATTTACAAAAACTATTTTATGTTGTTATTAATATATATACGTTACGTTTATACAGGAGAGAGTTTCATATAAGCGTTAAGCTTTCATCTCAATCCTGAATGAAATTGATATTTTTAGACAAAAGTTAAAAAATATTACACTGTATATATATTGATACGTTTTTACAGGAAAGAGTTTCATATAAGCTTTAAGCTTTCATCTCAATCCTGAATGAAATTGATATTTTTAGACAAAAGTTAAAAAATATTACACTATATATATATTGATACGTTTTTACAGGAAAGAGTTTCATATAAGCTTTAAGCTTTCATCTCAATCCTGAATGAAATTGATATTTTTAGACAAAAGTTAAAAAATATTACACTATATATATATTGATACGTTTTTACAGGAAAGAGTTTCATATAAGCTTTAAGCTTTCATCTCAATCCTGAATGAAATTGATATTTTTAGACAAAAGTTAAAAAATATTACACTATATATATATATATATATATTGATACGTTTTTTTACAGGAAAGAGTTTCATATAAGCTTTAATCCTGAATGAAATTGATATTTTTAGACAAAAGTTAAAAAATATTACACTATATATATATATATTGGAGAGAGTTTCATATAAACTTTAAGCTTTCATCTCAATCCTGAATGAAATTGATATTTTTTGACAAAAGTTTAAAAATATTATACTATATTATGAAGAATACATGTTCTGTTCAAAGCAAGTATCATGGAATACGGCAACGGCTTACTTCACCACAGTCATTAATGAAGTAAGCAATTATCGTATTCCATGATAAAACAAGTTAAAATCATTCATCTGTTCTTGAATGTTTCCAGAGCTCACTGTGACAACAATTGTGAAATTTTAACGCTCTAACCTGACCCACGCGGGTCAAGTTATGAAACCACCACTTTATTCTTTACAAGAAGAAAAGTTTTGTTCCTGTGACTGCCTAGTGTATTCATTTTGAGGACATTTACAGAATAATGAATGAAAAAATTAAAAACAAAGAAATTAAAATTTTGCCTGTATCTCCCTTTACAAGAATATAGAGACGAAGACTCTTTAATATATAAATGTAAATTATTCCATACTTGCATAGCATTTTTTCTAAATGTTCTTTTAACATATTTTGTATTAGCTCTAACATGTTTTATAGTTCTATTAGTAGTTATTGTAAGTGTTTATGTTTCATTTTTTGAGAACACAAGTATATCTGAAATGTAGGAAGGATTCAATCCTTCTATATATTTAAATACTAAAAATGCTGTATTATGATACGTGCATCTTTATCAAAAGTTAACAAGTTTAATTTAAGGAAACGTTTTAACTGGTTTACAAATATTATCTTTGATGTGCGTTTCTGCAAATCTATAATAGCTGTTGTAGAAATATATCATAATGTTGTTTAACAATTTGGAAAGTCTGGCAATTGTGTTCTGACAATTTTGTTAGAAATAATGTTAAATATCACTTTTATAGTTACATACATCGAAATCAAAAAAAAAATTAACTTGAAATAAATAAAGTATTAAAATGTTTCACACACGCCACGCACGCACACACGCACACACGCACACACACATACACACACACACACACACTATAATTTGCTAAACAATCTGCCAAGACTAATCTTCCTGAAATAATCATTTTGAGTATTAGAGAGAAAAAAACAAGATGTTTAAATATATGCGTATACTAAAGACTCATTTTCATTTTCTGTTGGGGACACTTTTTATCTTTATTTATATTATTAGAATTATGACAAATTTCTAATCTAAAATAAATCACATCCATATGATTATATTTGCAGAAACATGGGGTTTTATTTCTTAAAAGTTGAAATATTCCTCAAGATCCATCTTGTCATCATACGAAGATCTGTAAGATCTACCCCCAGTGTGATCAAAGCCTTTGTTGATCACAACATTAGCACTGGCTAACTCTGAATCCATCATTCTCAAAACCATCTTTGAGAATTCCATTGTCATTACGAGCTCTGTTAGATCTACCTCCATTTATGCCATGGCTGCTTTTGAAGATTCCATTACTATTAGGGGCTCTGTTTGCTCTTGCTCCACCACTATCAAAGCCGTTGTTGTGTATTCCAAACGAATTACTCCTTTCGTTGTGAACTCTGGGGATTTGTAGTGGTTGATTGTACTAAAAAGACACAAATATCATACCATGATAATAATGAATATTGTTTGAAAAAAAATTGCGTATTTGTATGGTACATAATATCATAAAATAAATGCATTTTTAATTACCCTATTTGGTACAAGATATTATAACATTTATAGATTTTAAAAGAAGAAACGGTCACAGAAAACAACCGCCATTTTCAACACTTGCTTGAAATGTTGAATTGAATTTGTCCAAGTTTTTTTCCTATGATGATACTATTGATTTCAAAACAGCCGAAACAATTAAGACAGACCTTGACGTTTAAACATGTTTACTCTGAGAAGGTTTTGTATGATATTCAAAATAATTTATATCAATCATGATAAACGCCTTGTCTGAAAAGTGACATGAAATAATATAATAACTGTTTTTGTCATAGAGTTTTATTTTTGTAATTTTCATTTGTTTTGTATTTGCATAACTATTTTTAAATATCGGGTCTGAAATATAAGTTAAGTAAACATACCGCAATATCTCGTCCGAAGAGGTCGGTGAATCCTGATTGCATCGGGTTCCATGCAAGGACTTTCGAGTTAAAATTTCCCTCGGAGTTAGTGTCTGTAACATTTAACGCATACATTTATATACTTTATATTAATCTATAGACTAAAGATGTATGATGATTACTTTGAATATTAACAAATTCGATATTAAATAAAATCAAACTGGTTCATTAGTATTTTTTGTTATATGTTATATCCAGAGTTCTAACGTTTTATATTTCATTATATTTCACTTATTTCACATTACATATAGAAGTTATGTTCCCTTTTAATATTAATACGATAATGGCTATGGTTAAGGCTTAAAGTCAGGTAAGCCTAAAACCGTATTGTTTGAAACCGGTATAGTTTGAGGCCAGGTCTGCCTCCGAATTTGTTTAGTTTAAGGCTATTGAAACAGCCTTCAAATCCGAACTGTTAGATGTAAGATAGCCTGCAAATCCGTACAGTTTGAGGTAAAGAAAACTTGCAATTTCGTGCAGTCTGAACAGACTGTTTATCATGGATAGCTAATTTTTACCTTTTAGTTTGATATAGACGAAATAAAGACTGTCCCTCATATAAAACCGTAAAACCCCATTGTACAAATTAAGACGTGTAATGCTTACATTTTGCGTAACTATTCAAAATAGTATATTTAAGGTTTATTTCTTGTTATAAAAAAAGGGAATTCTAGAAGAATAAGAAGTGTTCTGCTCAATGCACAAGGTTTATTTACCTTCTTTAATAGCTTTTGCAGTTCTGTGATAGTTTCCCCCTCCATAATTCCTTTTTCTCATACTGTCAGCAAAATAGTTCCTACAAAATGTATTAAAAATACTGTAAAAGTGCAAACAACTTTCGAATGAATGACAAATATTTTGTAACCGATGTATGTGTGTGTTTTCATAAGATATTCTCATTCAGAACATAAAACTTAGGACCAAATATGTTGACGAAAAAATTAAAAAAATAGAGGAGCATATATGATTATTATATAATCATCATTTTGATCTATTGTTAAAGTTATAACCCAATAAATTCAGTGTGGAATTTTACAGACATAAATAAAAGACGATGCGCTAAAAAAACGATTAAAAAAACTGAGCATAATTTAGCATGTAAATAAACAATCTATTGGAAATTATCAATAACATAAAAAAATGATTGAAATGTACAGTAACTGTAGATTATAATAACAGCAACAGCACATCATATTTTGTTTACATATTAAGTTTTGTATTATTGCAAAAGTTTCGTGTTTATCATTTTTAAGAAGCTAGTTTAAACCTTTGTTTTCCATGCTTTTTCTGCTTTTGTTTCCGTTTCCGAAGACACATGATATTAATTATCGCCCCGATAATAATCAACACACACAATGTTGAAATGATCGCAATGATAATATGAAATAGTCCGTCGTCTGAAAGTAAAGCAACAAACTAACACTGAAAATTCATGAAAATATGAAATGTAAATCATATGTAACACAGACAAGATGAGAGTAAAAAAATATAAATTTAACATCTGCTTAATAATAGACACGTATAAAGCAATGCACTAGTTATGTCTAAAATTATCTTGTTTTAAGTAAATTATTTCCAGATAATTTTATATTTTAAATACTTGACATACTTGCAAACTTAAAAGGTGAAATGCTACGACTTTTGACCGGAGATTGAAATAATCTCCACTAAGTGTAGAACTGCACATTAATTAATATTTTGTGTAATATCAATCATTTTAGGATAAGGCAAGGATTCTTTTTACAACATAGTGTATTTAGGTAACGAGGTACCTTAGATATATGAAACTGACACAGAATATTTTATTTTTTCATGTCCTTTCATATAATTACTTAACATGATTAATTCACAAGTAAGGAAATTCCAATTGATTTGAATCTTTTCAAAACAATCGTATTAAAAAGTCAAAATTGAAATCTTACCATCTTCTTTGTTTTGTCTGAAATACATCAATACTAATTAAACATACTGATTGACAAAAAAGTAAACAAAAAACAAAATTATTTGTCGTTTTGTTTGGTAAGGCCATAGATTGTTTAATATTGTTCAAATGATCAAATATTAAATTAATTTATGTTTACAGACTTGAAAATGAAATATGAACTTTTCAATACGAAACAAATAAGTCTAAATACTCGAACCTGCATCTTGGAACGTTATTTGAAACTTCACAGTGATAACCGCTATCGCAGCTTCCTATCAATATCAAATACAACATGCACGGGTCCATATTTTGATGTCCATCTGAAAATATTGTGATTTCTTAGTGCAAAAATTCAACATACCACATCAATAAATAAAACATTATTTATTAATTTCAAATGTTATGCGTTTAATGTAATTTTGCTGGTTTTGTTGTTGTTGTTGTAATTTTGTTTTCATACATATGCACATTTCAAATGATTTAGATATACATTCAGTTATAGAGTTAAATCAATAACGTTATGATCTCATAAACTTTAAGATTGAAGTTGACGTTTATTCTTCTTTTTCTTCATTTGTTTTGATGAAATGTCTTTGATAACTTACTAGAAGTGGCATTCACTAATTCACCGTCAAACATTATCTGTGCCCCTTGAATTAAGTCGGCAGATGCTGTAATTAGTTCAGAGGACACTTCCGTATCTTCATCGAATGCAATTACATAATCCACTATGATGCTTCCATTTCTTAAAGGAACATTTAGTTTAGTTTAGTGTAAGATCAAAATATATTTCACCTCGTGAACACCAAATGTTCATATTTCACTCGTGACTGCGCCACTCCTGAAATTTATCTTTTGGTGCTCATTCGGTGCAAGACTCTATGTCATTTTAAATGTTGCGATTCATTTATCCAATATAAACTTGTTACAAAGCATTGTCTTTTAAGCTTTTGCAATTTTGCAATGACAATAATTACAATCTCTAAATGATAAATAATCTAACATATATATGATATACAAATAACCATCATAGCTCTAAGTTTATTTATTTTCTGATTTAAATTGCATGTTGTTTACAAATGTATCATAGATAAAATATGCCTTCACTAACTATATTTTTTATGATTAACGGTTGCTGAAATAATTATGTATGAATCGTTATGTTTTGAACTTACTTTAAGTGAACAATAAATATTTGAATCACGGCTGCTGTATAACGGGAGTAAAATCCCAACAACTGTAAAAGAAAAAGGAGGATATTTTGATGTTTTGAATTAGTTCTATAACACAATTGTATTACGCTCTCATTCATTACAGAAACATGTACATACATTATAACTTAAAAAGCAGTAAACAGCCAAGCTAAAAGAGGGGACACTGTTAATGCAATCTAGAGCTCGATTCTTTGTTACAGATATATAAAAACAATTCTTATAAAGATGATGTACATTTTAATTTAGATATGTAACAGGATATTTACATTATCAATTTCTTATGAAATATATATATTTACGCTTTTTTCGACTTTCCCTCTCACAATATCGAAGGAATTTGCTGACTTCATGTTAACCCCTGCCAATGAGTTTGTGTGAATTGTAATACTAAAATTAAATGTCGTTACACCAGCAACTGAAAAAGTATTGAAACTTTGTTAAAGAAGACTGTCGTCAAAACGAGTTTGAAACGCTACATAACTGTACACTTATTCTATTTACGCAAAATATGAATGTAAATGTTTATTGTTATATTGGCAGCCGTTAAATGTTGACCCGTCCTTAATTTCACTATTGTTATTCTTTCCAACCTTGCAATTACCACTATCGTACATGAACTGGTCCAATCAAACCATGTCTACAACATTGTCAATTTTGCCAACAAGAATATATTTTATTACAGGATATGACATAATACAATGTACAAACAAACGAGCTTTAACGTTTTAAAGATCAAAATTTATTGTGAATATATATGCTTTTTCCTTTACCTTTAGGAATATCCGTTGAAAAACTGCTATCTGAAATAATATTAAAGAATAATATAAAAAATCTTTTGACTCCAAATCGTGCATGATTCAAGACAACACATTTGCGAGTGACACATTGACATAAAGAACTTAAAAAATCTTACACTATATAGCATTGTGGTTATAAATCTAATACAGCTATATATCCAGTTCTGTCTATACAAAATCATGTTTTTCATCATACAAATATATTTTTTTTATTTTGTTTGTTCAGTATTTATTTAATGTAAAATGATATTTTTCAAGTAGGCCTTACCTTCAACGCATTGTCCGTCCGCATTTTCCTTGAAACCTTTGATACAATCGCATTTGTACCAGCCGTGCGTATTTACACATGTTGTGTTGTTCTTAGCACTACACAATGTTGTATCTTCCTCACATTCATCCACATCTTTCGAACAGGTTTCTCCTTTCCAGTTAGATTTACATCTACACTTTCCAGTCACCGTGTCACATGTCTGCTCAACATTTTCAGACTTTTTTGTCACACAATTACATTGTTCCGTACAATTTTCGCCAAACGTATTGCCAGAACATTCTGTGAAATATACATATATATCATATCGGTATTAATGAGTTTCTTCATATGTACTTTAGGCATTCATAGTCTTTCATGAATTTGATTTTAAAAGTAAAACAATTAAGTTTCAAACGTTTCGAGGGCTGTGTATTATAGCTTAAAAATACCACTTCCGTTCAGGAGCATGCTCCATGGAAACGACATGCAACATCTTCAAGCCTGTCGTTTTGGCAGTTCTAGCTAGTATAAAGCCAGCTTTAACGATTCCGTTTTTTACACTGATTATATGTTGTAGTTTAACACTAAAATTATTTTTAAAAACATCATTCAACCGTTTGACAATGCAGTTATTCTGAATAAATTCAATGTCTTTTACGAGCTCTTCACTCCGACATACTTATGTTAAACACTTATTAAATATCTCATCAAACTACAAGAGTCTCTTACCTTTACACACATTATTAACCATATAATATCCTTTGAAGCAGCCACAATGAAAACTTCCAATTGAATTGATACATGACTGTTCACAAGCGTTAAAAGCATCTTCTTCACATTCATTTATATCTAGAAGATTTACATGTATATTTGTATATCCAACAAGTTTAGTTCAGTTTGTGCTAAAATACAGTTATAGTCTACCTACCAGAATGAATCTTATTGATATTTCTATACATTTTCTTACTAAAGTTTATGGATTGGACAGGATATATTTTATGAATTTCGTGTCTGAAAATGCACAGAATAACAAACCAAGAAAACAGCACCTGACTATAGACAATAACCATAATTGTACAAAGCTGATCTGCTTTAAACTAGACAATTATATCTCATATTATTTTTGCAACCCTACCTTTTCTTTTTTACTATACCGACAGCGAATACTGTCATTTGATTTGTTGTTTGGTATTTTATTTCGATAATGTTTCTTTTTGTAATGAACTTATGATAAACTATGTTTTGACTTGAAAATGATTGGATGTCTCACCACTGCAGGTATTCTCAAAAACTCGAAATCCAGTTCTACATATGCATTCGTAGGACCCATTTCTATTCTCACAGAAAGAATGTGATACATCACTACACGAATCAGTATCGCATTCGTTTATGTCATCCAAACATGTTTCCCCTGTCCATCCCTACATTATACAAAAAGGCACAATGGAAAAATATACTTATAATCATGTGTAAGTATCAAAATGATAAATTATAGATTTTTGATACATTATTCAAGACTTTATCTCAAAAATAGAATGTAGATGGTATTTCAATGCCGAAAATAATATGCAATACAAATGTCAATGAATACTAAATCATTTTTATGTACCTCTGTAGCATTTATTAAATAAATAGATAATACAAAGAAGAGTACATTCGTTAGAGTAGTCAAATATGTATTATTTCAGTTGTAAAAAAATAGTTGAAACAGCTTTTAAACACATTTGCAATTTAAAAATAATATGATATAAACAGTTTTCATAAAACATTTATGTATGGGAGAATTTTTACCTTTTTGCATGTACATACGCCACTTGTATGATTGCAGGAGTCTGTGTTTTCAATGTGGCAATTGCAAATACTGTTGCAGTTTTCTCCATAGTGTCGATTATCACAAACTAAAATATATTGTTATTCCATAAATCAATATCACATGAACATCACATAATATTTCAATAGGTACATGTACTTGTAAGTCCCATAATTTTGTAAGAAAAAATTATATAACAATACCTTTGCACTCCCCGGAGGCTACTAGAAGATATCCTATGTCGCATTTACAATCAAAGCTGCCAGGCGTGTTAAAACACTCAGAATTGTAAGGACAAACAACATCACTATTCGTACATTCATCGACATCATCATCGCATTTATCACCAGTCCAACCATTTTTACAGTAACACTGACCAGTCTTGGGGTCACAGGAGTCCGTATTTTCCCTTACGCAAGTGCAGATGTCTTCACAATTTGTGCCATACTTGAATAACTCACAAACTGAAAATTTGACTCGATGAGTTAAAGATAAGAATTGTATATAATTTATCTGATGAAAAATTTGACCTCCTTGCTGTTAAATATAATACTTTATAACTCTTAGTAAACTTTAAGGAAATCACCTTAGCATAAAACCAAAAATGTGAATTTCTTACATTGATCAGCGGGAGCACTTAAACAGAGAAAACTGCAAACGTAAAGAAGGAAGTATACTCAGAAATAAACTGAAAATCATATTTGGTGCAATTCTTAGCCCGATTTGAACGAAAAGCGTGGCAACATTCAGTGGATTCCTAGGCTAATTTATTATTTGTATGATTTCTTTAAGATAATATTTTTAAAAAAGCACAAAGAAAGCGTATTTGGTGGCATTCCTTGTAAATCACTAACCTTGACATGTGACCTTGTCTTCCTTAAGGAAATATCCGTTTTGACAATTGCACGTGTAACTGCCGTAAGTATTGATGCAAATGTGGGAACAAGGCGTTTCATTGCATTCATCTATGTCTGAAAGAAGTATATAATATATCTACATGCTATATGTAATATGAAAAAGAATCAAAACTAAAATAAAATAGGTGAGACAAAATCGCGCAGTTTTGTTCCTTCAAGTACATAGCATATCAAAAAAAGAAGATAAATTGTTTGATAATTTCATACTATGACTCTTTTACAAAGAGTACTTACATGTATATCAATAACATCTATATTGTTTGTATTTTCACATAACTTACCAACACAAATGTCATTCTTTTTCACATATCCTTTAAAACAACGACACTCTATCTCACCGTCCTGCATCATGCATAATGCGTTATCCCCACACGTCGATGAATTATCTTCTGTACACACATGTATGGCAGAAAATGAAAGAATATACCTGTAATTTTGAAGATTAAATCTGTGTTAGCATATGACATAAATTCTAAAAATACTCTGGATTTATCATGACGACAATATTATTTATGATTATAATGATAATAACAGTAATTAAGGAAAAATGATAAGAATATCTTTCATGTATTATTAAAAGATTTATATTATATATTATTATACTCGTAGACAATTAGAATTAAAATTACAACAACAGAAAAAACATAATTAGATGAATAATTAAGACTGAATAAAATAATTAAATTCAATTAATTATGCAAAATTAAATTAAGTTAAAATTCCTGTTCCCGGAATTGCCTTTTTCAAATATTATGATATAATGTCAAGTATGCCTGGTTATAGCCAATTTCTTATTTATTGATTTATTGTGGTAGTTAAAATCAAATGTGTATAACATTCATTGAAAGGAAATTTCCCTTCAAACGTTGTTGAATTTCCATTTTATTTTTCAAAATAATACTTACGACTGCATGATTTTCTTTCGGTTAGATTAAGAGCATATCCTTCGTGACAAGAACATCTATAGCTTCCTATTGTGTTATCACATATCTGATCACAGTCATTCATTCCGCTACATTCGTCGATATCTAGGATAAAAGTATTATTCTAATTTTGCCTATTTTTGTTTTCTTACATTAAGGAATTGCAAACATACTCGAAAATATTTGATATCAACATAATGTCACCTTGTTACCTAAAATTAAACGAATAGGTAAACGAAAACTTAAAACAAAACTTTAATTGTATATACTTTTATTTGTGTTTCTAATGACTACAATGAATGTAAGTCTGTAATTGTCTCATATTTGCCCCTGATTTCATCATTCTTTACGGATTCATGTCACATTACTTTCGAAGAAAACTTATCTAAAATTAAAAAAAAAATGTTTTTAAAATAAGTGTCGACATTAAAACTGATCTTACCTTGACATGATCCTTCCAGCATGGTAAAACCATGTTGACATTTACAGGTGTAACTTCCGTTGGTGTTGACACAAACTTGATCACATTTATTCATTGCAGAATCTTTACACTCATCTACATCTATAAATGAAGATTTTTTGTTCTAGTGTTTTATCTGACTCCGATGCAAGTATTATTTTGTGGCAATTATAAATAAATGTAAATAAAAAACAAGAGCTGTCGGAGGACAGCAATGCTCGACAATTAGCACAGATATCAAAGTAATGACATTGGACAAATGGAAAGGACAGGAATTGAATACAGGTCTACTTTTTGACAGACCAGCAATCTACCTGTGCGCAAGCCCGGCTTGTTTAGTGGAAATGCATTTTATATTTATCAGAATATCATAATGAACATGACTTTTGAAAAGAAGTTTGAAGTACTGCAAATGAAAATTGAAACATTTATTGATTACAGACTCAGATCATTATTGCAAACAAGTAATGTAAGTATCATGGCTATATCTCAAAAGGTTATGTAATTAAATGAAAAGATAAAAATATAAAGTTCAAAAGGGGAGAGAAATCATCCTAAATACAAGATAAAATTATGGATCTGGGTCAGTGACCTACAATTATGACCCTTATGCATTTGTGAAGTTGTAAAATAATATCTTTGATAGTTATTGAGATATGTAAAACTTGCATGTCAACATTAACCAAGAGACTAAGTATAAAAGGGAAGATAAATCAGGCTAATTAAGTACATGACACAGATATGAGTGCTGATCAGTGATCATTATTTATGACCACACAAATACATGTGAAGTTTCAAATTTGTATCTTTAATAGTTGCAGAGATATGCAAAACTTGCATGTAAAACTTAACCCAGAAAATGAGATTTTTTTAGTACAAAAGGGAGCATAATTCAGTCAAAATACATGGCAGAGTAATGGATCTTTAGATGTGACCATCAAATATAACCCTAAGTACATGTGTAAAGTTTCAAGTAAATATCTTTGTTAGTTCTTAAGTTTCAAAGGGGCATAATTTTACAAATATTGCAGGAAGGCTTCTGCTTTTTTGCAAGCTAATGAATATTGTTACTACAAAAAAGTGTTGTAAATTTCAATAGAATATATCAAGCAATAATTGAGATATTTGACTTAACAAAAATTTTTTTACCAAAATTTCTAAGTTAAATAGGGGCATAATTCTGTAAATATTGTAGGCAGAGTTATCCAACTTGTCAATCAGATGAACATTGTTACAATAAATAAATATTGTAAGTTTCAATTGAATATCTCAAGCAATAATTGAAATATTTGATTTTATAAAAAACTTGAACCAACGCAGACACCGACCCAGACGTTGACGCCAACGCCGACGCCGGGGCGACTGCATTAGCTCTCCATATTCTTCGAATAGTCAAGCTAAAATTGAATTAATGACGATCATTTCACAGTAACCTTTTTATTCTATATGCAATTGATAAAATTAAATAAATGCATGTATATCTATAACATATAGGAATAATTTGTTCATATATATATTTTTTCCCGTTCTATAGAACTTAGATACTTTTATATAATGCCTAAAAAGATAAGGCTAAAAAATTGAATACGAAATCTTATTTAGACATTCATAAATATTATATAAAATGATTTAATATAATTTTACCGATACACTGATTAGAGATATTAATGTATCCAGTTTTGCAGGAACAAACAGCTCCGCCAGCTGTATTAACACATCTTGTATTAGCAGCAGAGCACCGTAGAAGACCAGCTGTACATTCGTCAACGTCAATGTTACAGTTATCCCCAATCCAACCAGAATCACATACACAACCTGAAATAGGAAAGACGTATCCATTTACTGAAACGTATTTCTTGTTTTATAAAAGACAATGACTTCAGTTAAATTCCGTCAGTGCCTATCGTAATGACAAACAAACAAAGAAAAAATTAAGTCTCTCCTGACAGTGCGTAGGTAAAATTATGATATCATATGTATTCTAATGTCTTCAATGTTTTCAGATTTTCTTTCGGAGACAAAAGTGCACTCCTGCTACATAGATAATAATGTCTCAATTTGAATGTGTCAAATTTTAATAAAATTTTTAAAATAGATGTAAACGATTCTTGTATTTTTTGAACTAATCATTTTTTTTTCATTATTTCTCTGTAGTGATAACCTCCTTAATGTGTCATTATGTTTAATCAAATTAATCATAACAGATATTTTAAGAAATAATCACATTGCCATTTGAATTGTGAAAATGACTACAATTATAAATTATTTTACAATGAAGTCCCAAAATCCTACATTATAGTTGCTATACAGAAAATGTGTAGAAAAACTGCTAGAAAGTAACATTTATTATTTTTATATTGAAATATACCAGTTTTCTTGTCACAAACTCCGTGTAAACAGCTGCATGTCTGAGAACATTCCTTACCAAAATGGAATTCATCACATACTTAAAAGTAAATTTGAAAACAAAACTGTAGAATCTTGATATATATGTAGCAAGACATAATCTACAATTTATGATAAAAGTAGATTGAATAAGCTCATATTTATTTAAATTGTTTCGCAAAACTCAAAATCCTTGGAATATCTCCACCTAATTGTTCAAAAATTCACTGACTTTGGTATTAAGCAGTCACAATAATTGAATTGCAAATTGAAAACATGCTTAAATGACCGAAAACATATTTTACAAATATTTCATATGTTGTAAGAAATACCTAAATGAAAAATTATAATAACTGTAAATCTAAATGCAATGCACCATACTTAACAGAACATATATGAAACTGTATGTTATTTTGTTAAGAAGTATGTGTATATTACCTAAGCATGTCCTTTTGTCATTTGCAAGTTTTGTTCCTGTTGGACATTCACAAGTAAAAGACCCGTATGTATTTCTGCAGGTTGCAACCTTATCACAAAGATTAAGATCGGCGTCGGTACATTCATTGGCATCTACAAATTCAAGTATTGATTTTAAGGCTGTATGTGAAATATTTTCTTATGTAACTCTAATTATAATAAAGGCATTGGCATTTTTTTATTAAACGGTTGATAAATGTTTATAAGAATTATTATTTTGTTTTAAATACTGTAGACTTATAGTGAAATTTATATGGATTTATATTATTTTTCACGCACAAACTTAAAACAATAGTGGCAATCAACAGTTACACAAAGTATTCTTTTGCAGCCAAAATTGCATTTCTTTATATTATTGGGCATTTTATAAAGCAAGTGAACACATTAAGTGGCCACATTTCTACAAAAGTAAGTAACATGCTCTAAATAGTATCAAACATTGTCGTAATTACCTGAACAAGTCTCTTTATCAGGTAAGATTTTAAAACCTTTTCTGCAACCACAAGCATAACCTACATCAAGAGCATTGCAGTAATGAGAACAGTTCAAGTTCTGGAATTGCAAACATGGATCTGAAACTAAAAACAGATAAGAAGTAAAATCATAATTTATTTTAAGAAAAATGAAGAGAAAAGTAACATTCAGTTTGCTAAAATCAGTAAAATTGATATCAAATTAACAGGAACCATTGTCAAGAATCGCGATTGCTGTAACAAAAGGTAATGCATAAACATATACTTTAAAATCCCAAAAAGGGTAGTATATGTTTTTTACATGTTAACTGATGCCATAAGAATAGATAAATGTCATCAGTTAAATATTTAAGTAACCATGTACGTGAAATTCGACAGAAAAAATAACATTTTTATTATGTACAGATTTGAAGACGTTCGCAATAGTATTGCCAAATACTATTTACATTATAACTATAGATCTAATAAAATTTCACTACATTATACTGTTCTTTCATATTTGTTTTTATGTTATTTATGTCATAGGAAAATTTAGTGCTGTGTACTGAATTATAAAATAATTACAAACCTTTCTCACAAGAAGATCTATCATCATTTAGAGTGTACCCTGTATTGCAGTAACAATTGTAAAACCCAGGAACATTCATGCAATTTTGTTCACAATCAGCCGTTCCCTGTTCACATTCGTCGATATCTAGAACAGTATGAATAAAGTTACAGGTCTTGATATCGATTTAAATTTTTAAGTTGTACGTTTCACAAAGACAAACGGTGAATAACATGCATTTCATAAAAATATTGAGATAATAGACACAATATACAATATACTATTCAAAAGCAAAACATTAAATAGACACCGAGAGACTATTATGAAAAAGTTAATATATGGAAACGTTACAGGGTATTTAGAAGTACATATTTACCTGCACAAGATGTTTCATTTATCTCGACATATCCCTCAAAACATCCACATGTATATCCACCGAAGGCATTGTTACATTCTTGCATGCAATCATGAAATATTGGACTTGCACATTCATTTATATCTACAATGAAATGACAATGACTCCTATAAACGTTTTACTTGTACAAATGTTGTAAAGTCCTTCGGCTAGTTAAATCAAATTTCAGTATTTCAAATTTCTGTGATTTCGGTTATTCATCTAGACGATACTTCACATGCGATTGTTTTGAATTAGAATTCACTGGAATCTCATAATTACCCTATAGAAATATTAAACGCAATACGAGTATTGATAAGACATCATTTGATTTTCTATTGTCAGCTTCTTTTTGTTCATTGATGATCTAAATAACTAACTGTACCTTCACATGTTCCATTGATTTCCTGAAATCCATTCATGCACTGACAAAGATATGATCCCAAACTATTGGTGCATTCCTTCATCGGGTCTTTGCAAATATTAGCGACGTCACATTCGTTGATGTCTTCATCACAAGTATCGCCTTCCCATCCAGGATCACACAAACACCCTTTTACAGGGTCACATATTTGCGCACCTCTACCAGTGCAAACACATTCCTTTTCACAGTTTTCACCCCATCGTGTTGCAGCACATGCTAGAATGTCATAAACATGGCGTGTGTACATAATCATAAATATACAGTTCTGTGATGTCTATTATTCGATATTATATACATGAAAATGTGTATGAATATGTATATTAAATATTATCATTAATTATAAATCGGGTAGTTCATTTACATGATTTAGAGGAATGGAATCAAGGTAAAAACTAGTAATCAATTTTCACAATAATCCGTTTAAATATATTAAAAATGTATTCGTACCTTCACAGTTGGTTAAGCCGTTCAAGTAATAACCGGTAAAGCAAGAACAGGTGAAGTTTCCATGATTATTTGTACATAATTGAGGACAAACATTCTTTGCACATTCATCTATATCTATATAAACATTAAACATGATCGTAAAATAATAAAACAAATGTTTTAAGATTTTATTTATAAAAGTATACATTGTCAGCATGCAGGTAAAATACGTATTTCATAATTTTCTGCTCTTTTGCTAACATTTTGTCGAATATAGATATGTCGGACTGATTATATTTCTATTAAAGTACTTCGTTTATTCTAAAAGAAACTGTTTCTTTAGAAAGAGATTACAGCCATACCATCGCAAACGACACCATTAGCATCCAACTCTAACCCTCTGTCACAGAAACATTTTTCAATTCCAGCTTCAAGAATACATCCACCAGTGTCTGCGCATTTACTTTCACTAGAAGTATTACAAACGCCTGTTGCTTAAAATTGATAAAAAGTATTGGAATTAAAATATAATGTAACACGAACTATATTTGCATATTGTCAAACAGAATGTACACTTTGTTACAATTAAAAAGATATGTTTCAAATGTTGATGCAAGGAAAGATTAAAGCACTTAACTAGATAATTTATTTCCATTTAACCTGAAACATAGATGAAAATTTCACATTTTCTTGTGATTTTTAATCATTTATCATTTAAGTTATCCTTTGTCAGTTTTGGTTGCAAATACATGTATTAGTGACTTCTATTAAAATAATTATGTACTTTATATTGGCATTACAGTTTGTTTGAGCGATTGAGCGAGCCTCTCTAATTGTTAACAATAAATGATATCAATAAGTGAGAGGTTGCTTCACGTACATTTTTGAATATCACACCACCTTGCAACTGAATTTGTAAATACGTATGAGGTGTTTGTATTGAAGATAACAAGATCAACATAAATACCTGTATCACAACATAAATACCTGTATCAGCAACACAAGTCGAACCGTCATCTTGAAGTTTATATCCATCATGGCATTGGCAGGAGAACCCACCTGGATTGTTTACACATAGATGTGAACAATTATCCAAGGCTTCTTCGCATTCATTTATATCTGAAAGACATTAAAAAGAAAAATTAAACATAAGTTATAAAAATATAAAAAGAAGAATGGAAAAGTAAATTAAAAGTGCATTATATCATTTTTTATTGGACCTTAATGTTAACTTGTAACAAACTGCTAAAATTGAAAATTAATGATGTAAAATCTTGACTATTCAAAGTTTCAATGAAATGCTCAAAATACAAAGTACTTTTTGAATAACAAAGAGTTACATATACTAAATCCAAAATATTTCAATTGATGATATTGAATTTCTTTAAAGTGAGTTGAAAGGTTCAAATAGTAGAGCTAAGTCGAGGAGAGCAAATCATAGTTTTCATAATAAATTTAGGTTACAATCCACGTGTAAACGAATCACTTGATGAAATTTTCCTTCCCTGTGTCTCAATTTCTTTGTTTTGGATAATTTGTATTTCTTAATCAAATAATAAACAAGCAGAGATGTTACGAATAAAATGACCAAAATAAGATCAGTCATAACAATATCTTCTTACCAATACACTTGCTTGTATTCTTTGCACTAACTCGATACCCAGTAAAGCATGAACATTCAAAACTACCCTCCGTGTTAACACATATGTGTTCGCAATATGTTGTCTTTTCAGAACATTCATCAACATCTATAATAAGAATGAAGCACTGGATGTGTTAGGAGTGTCTGCTAGGTTCATTAGAACGTTTTATTGTAGTAGTAATTTAAGATTCATATTTACTTTCATGTTTATCTCTATTAGCTATCTGGGTAATTTACAGTGGTTTGTGAAAAAAATGACCATTTAAAACAAATGAAATTTAATAACTTGTTTCAGACGGCGATGTCACTTTGTTAATGTTCCCCGAAGTGCTTAATCTGCTAAAGTTATTTCAAACATATTATACATTAATAATGATATACAATGTATATTGAAATACTCGTGTGAGATTATTTTAAATGGTTATCATCAAAAAAGATCTGATTATGTGTTTATAAAACCAAAAGAAGAATAGCATCAACATAACAATTTTTATGTACCTATACAATCGTCGATATCAGAATCGTTCATGTCCTTAACGTATCCCTCAGGGCATTCAGCACAAATATAGGACTTGCCTTCGCTAAGCTGCTCTTTGGCACTTATAGTTGTACATTCTCTTTCTAATGAACAAGGATTCGTTGAACACCAATCTTTTTCATTTTCACAGTTAGGACCTAAAAATAGATTTTAAATTTAGATAAAATATTAAAAACCAGTTCATACAGGAGGGGCGGCATTCAATGAACGCAGTTCACATACGATTCAGCAACACTGTCATCTAGTTATATTTTCAGCCTTGACATTTCTTAAACATTATAAAATCCAGCAGAATATTAATGATATTTTCATTACGCTTCGTTTTAAAGACATGTTCATAAGATACAAAGATCCCCTTATAAAAATGAACATGTTAAAACATATCGTTATCTGCAATTTTGCAATCATGTTATCATTACCATCATATGGAGATTCACAGATACATTCGAAATATTTAAAGTACTGTGTTTGTTGCTGGTCATCTCTTATAACATTAGAACAAACACCATGTCCACTACATCCAGTACACAGTAGAACATTTATAACAATGCCGGGCGAAGAACGACCATTACTATTCCTCACAGCAACTCTGAAAGTTAGAAATCAAATACTTTTAAAAGCATACTTAATTTATTAAGCAATATGTATTATTATTTCAATTTTTATTAAGAAAACAACCATACTGCCAGAAGCTTAAACTAAAGCTATATTATGTAATAAACATACAGTACAACTAGTAAATACAAAATATTCAATTTATAATTATAAATAAGTATGTGCTTTATTCAAAATGTTTAAAAAAGTTAAGAACATAATAATGAAAGTAGATATAAAATCGAACATTCTTAAAAAAACATACTGAATATCGACTGGGTCGGTGTTAGACTGCGTGTATTCCACTGTCGACAATGTTTTGTTGATCTGAGCATTTGCGTTATTAGCTATAAAATAAATATCATGTCCATCTTCAAAACTTAATGGGCATGTAACTTTCTGTCCTAAAGTTGCATTGATACTTTCACATCCAGTAAGTGTGGGTTGAGTTTCATCTAAAAACAAACACATGAAAGATTCAGCATAATATTACAAAGATTTTATGAACAAAAAGCATGCGGTATAGAACAACTTCGGAAAGAATGTCACAAACGAAATGTCTGTAAACCAAACAATACGTTTTTTTAAAATACTTATGAGATGCACTTACTAATTTCATTTCTGTCAAGATCCGCATCAGTCTTCAAAATTCTAGTAGCATTTGCAACCTCTTTATTTTCTGTGAATACGAGGTCAAAAACACATTCAATATTCTCGGCGCCATTACAGTCTTGCTCTGCTTGTGCTCGTTTATCAACATCAATCTCATCCAGAAATCTTGGAGTGAAAGAATTATTTTGATAATCTTGATGCGATTTGCCATCTTCATACACAAACATAGACTTCTTTTCATCAATCTCCCCTGTTATGTAAAACATGACCTTTTAGTTAATGAATTATTTATCTTATATGACGTATATTTATATGACTGTTATGAATAAAAACATAGCTATCGTGTAAACTACATGTTGAATTTTATGAAAAATTACAGCAATGTATTCGATGTAGCTAAATCATAAAATACTAAAAATGTAATATGCGGGATTTCCTCAAGGAACTTATTTATTAGCTTGACATTTCACAATGTTAACTGTCGCCCTTCCATATGTTAAACATATAAGATTATTACACACTGTTGATGATATAATTATACATTTCAGACATTGAAATCGATGACATTCAAATGGTTCATCAAAAGGTTGTCAATAGATATGTGTTTAAGAAACAGTGCGACCAGTATACTGTAGATGAGCATTTATTCAATCAAGAGCCGAGAAGTTCAATGCTTGTATTTTGATATTATATTGTTCCGAATTCAAAGCAGGGCAAGTCCATTATCTATATTATATCAATGTTAGTGTAAAAACACAGCCTAACAGGTATATTCATTATGATAACCTCAAACTAAGCAATATTTATAGCAATCCAACGCTTTATTTAATTAACGCCATTTTCTTACATGTCTGTCCGTAATCAAATATTTGTCTCTCTGAAGAATTTGCGTTTATAACAGTACCATTAGGCATCATCAAATCGTTGTATGGATTCCCATCAAAGTTACCAAGAAGTCCGCTTGTGACGTTTGTCAGTGTATTTGGTATAATGGTGCTTATAGACAACATTTGTACACTAACTGATATGTTCAGCGATATGCCTAAAAGAAATATAACAGTTTTGGTGATGGTTATTTAATCATAGATGTCATTAGTTTGCATCAAAGCGCATCAAGATCAAATGTATTTCTATCTTAAATTCAAAAAAAAAAGGAGAAGCAATTTCAATAATTTCAAAAGCAGGAAATACTTAAACCGAGTAGGTGCAGAGCTTAAATTCCTAGAACGAATCATTTATATTTCTTATTGTGTTAGAAAGCAATATATGTCAAAAGAAGAAAACATAAAATATTTTGTTTCACTAAGTAAATAAGAAATTATGTACATGGAAAAATTATTTGATAATCAAAATTCAAATATATTTCTGGAATGAAAGATTAAATAAATACCTGAAGTTGGAAAAAGAACGCTTAATGCATTATCCCTACGTGCTAGAATAAGGTTGGCTTCGGGAGTTGAATATGTAAAGAGATCATCCAAGCCCTTTTTAGAGCCAGCATTGTATTGACTTGTTATGTCCACTTGATTAGCATAAATGATCAAACCTGAAATTCACAAATTAATTTTGCTTTAAACATGACACGAGATGAAATACTCAGAAACATTTTCTTAAATCATTCTTTACTATCAAAAACAAATCATGTTATGTCATTTGACATTAACTACTGGTCGAAATAGTTTAAGCACATAATTAAAAGTTAATGTTGCTATACTGACCGTTATTTTAGTGCTAACAAATAAATTATTGGTTTACAAAGCTTAAATGGTATTGGTAGGAGAGGTTATACGTATGTGAACGGTTTCAATAATGTTATAAATAACATTACCCTAAATCCATATGTGTCTTCCTAAAAACAAAGACGGCGTCTCTTAAGTTTTATGATAACGTTGCTATCATGAATAGATAGAACATTAGGAAGCTCAAAACCATCATTGAAACATCTTATTTGAGACATACAATATATGCCGACTGGAATGCATGATTACCGTTCCGTGCTTTGTTTAGCTCCACATGTACAGATGCATTGGTATTGTCCCTTGCAGCAAACGCCGTAAATGCAGTAGCATCTGTTAGGTTACCGTCTTTCTTTAATGTTCTGGCTGTTCTCGCCTGTAGATCAAATGTAATATTCTCCGTCGAAACGCGTAAAAGAACGAACTCTCCGATTCCATTGAATGTGAAATTCAGACCATCTAGGGTTGCAAAATGTGGGTCTCCCCAAAAGACTCCTTAATAAGACATATCAAACATAGTTAAAACACTGTTTGTTTTTAAAGACATTTCTGAGTGTACTGCATTGTTGATAACTGAAAAGTCTTGAAACAAACTTATGTAGATAAATGGAGTCACCATTTTGGTTTTTTGTTCTTTTTAATCAAGTTTTTTTCTAATTTTTCTCCCATAAAATGCCTGCCACATTTTCAGTTTTTGCCGTGTTTGGCTTTTTCTAGGGATTCTGTTTTTTCTATTAGCAAGGTAACCCCTATTTCTATATTCAATTTACATATACTTTGTTTTAATAATATTTTTTTTAACTTGATGAATATTATATTTTTCTCTTCTTTTGTTTTCTTGTGTTTTGTTTGAAAGGAAAGAAGTAAAAATGATTACCAAATCTAAACGGGGAGATTTTGTAGCAGCTTCCAGTTGGTCTAAGTGAGTAATACAGACTACAGTAATTTGACTTCATGCAACAATTTTCTTTCGGCTCATGATCATGCTTCAAGTGTTCATTTTGTATCTTTGGGTGATAAAGTTGGAAACCACCAGCAATTGGACGCTGATAAACCCACAGCCATGTTTTAAGGTCATAACAACATGACTGAAGTAGAGTCAAAACAGATCTTACATTCAATTGGTTTTCCGTAAGAAAACAATACATATTCTTTATATCTAAAGTTAAAATTGTACATTCTTTCGAAATTGAATATTCATTTGTTAATACAGCTCGGCCAAAAATTTCTTTATCATAAAAAATCCTTGACAATTAGTTTCAATTCTTAGATAACATTGTTCACCTTTCCAAAATGTCCAAAGTTCCCCCTGTGAAGCATGTCAACACAATAATGTGATTTATCTTGGCGATGCCGATGAAGTCCAATCTGCCAAAACCATGGATCGAACCTTGACAATCTTATGTCACAAGGACATTCGGGGGTCAGACTTGCTATGTAGTCAAAATATCTTTTTTGATCTTTATTCTCGTTATACCAGTTGATGCAGTTAATTGCGTTATTTTGTCTGATATTTTCATTGCGGTATAATTGCTTAAAGACTATGCCAGATACGTCTGTAAAATCAACATATATGTGTACATACATATAATGACAACTTTAAATGACCGTAAAAAATTTCATATCAAACAAATACTTAAGCAACGGTTTTGACCAATTATCAAGTTACATGAACGTTTGAAATAATGAATTTATCAGAACTTTTTAGAATCAAACTGAATAAAATATTTTAAGCTTATCGATATATTTCTTTATCAAAGGTAAGGCATTGTAATAATTTTATTAATATTTCAGAATGTTTAATTGCTAGACTTTCTACACTTGTTTAAATTGTTAAATTAAAATACATGTTTGTTCTTATATTATTTCCAGAAACCTGATTTTGACCGAGGGGCTGATTTCCTGGCATCGAGGAGTGTAAACATGTCACTTGTATATGCAAACGGGTGAGTGAAAACATTTGAAGAACTGAAAGAATAACCAATCCAAACTCGAGGTTTTGATAGAGTTGTTGTCCAGTTTATCTGATCATGTCCGTATATATAAAATGTAAAAGTATGACTTCCATCTGTAGCCAATACTAACTGGAATGTTGATGTCTAAAACATAACAATAATTATATAAACATTATAACCACCAGTCAACTTAAAGTTGCCAGTTCTTTTTACAAGTTAGTAACCTCATTGAACACACGATTTACTAGACAACAACTTACGAATTTTATTTAATTTTAAAGAAATTTCATATATCATTGAAGACGCCGGAATCTCTTATTCAACAAACCACATATCAAAAGGTTTACTGCTGTTCTACATATATAGAAAGAAAATAATAATATCGTTTTAATTTCAATCACCCTCGAGAATACTTTTATTTATCTGACATACAGTTTTAATCATGCACTTCTGTAACGTTTAAAAAGCATTAATTTCATAGTTTTAAAGAGATACAACTTTACATGTAAAATATTTTGTTTGGTGGAACATATCTGTCACATACCGTTTCTCTGTCAAACTGGTTCAGGGCCGGCTTGACTTCGTGCCATGTCGCAATTAAAGCAAATTTTGATTTAAATTTGTCAATTCCTCCTAATCTTTTAATGATTTTGTCAATATATTTTACAGACTCGTCAGTTTCTATGTTAGAATAAGATTTTAAAATGTCGTATGTTCTGAAGTAAATTCCACCAGATTGCTTCAACCTAAACGGCGCGTGAAACGGAGCCAAAACGTCTTGACCTTCGAGATCTGATAATATTTTGTCCTTTTTTGCAGGATATTTGCCAATATAAGCATTGTCAAAACTGACAATTCCGTGGGAGCAAACCTAAAAGGTAAATGAAACTGTTACATTTTATTGGTATCTATTATTTAAACATTTACATTTCTAAAATATATTTATGACGTTAATGTATCATATCAAATGTACATTATCAACCGGAACTTACTACTAAGTTTGTTTGTTTTTTGTTGGTTTTTTTTGGGTTTGCTGTAAGAAAACTAAATATTCTGTTCAGTGGAGACTTTTAATTTAATACAAAATATAACAGTAATATATGAATTATGACAAATCTGCTCACGTATAAAGTTTTATGGGTCTTTCCGAAGACTGGTATGCCAGGATTAAAGGTTATTCGAGGCCCACAATTATCTGTTGTCTTCAGTTGTGTGTCTGTATTATTGATCCCGTATGGAAGAAGGGGCACTGTAGATATACAACATGATACAAAAACATACTTTAACAGAGCATCCTATGATCCTCACAAATATGACCCCACTAAATGTTAACTTAGGTGTACTCTAAAGGCATTTGGTAAAAATAAAGATTTTGACTTTTGATCATTGTTATAAAGTTCAAGATTAGAAAATTGTTTTCCATTGAAGGTTCCGTGAAAACTACTGCCGTATGAACAAATCTGCAAATGTTTCTAATTTCACAATTTTCATGTTTGAATGTTAAATGCTACTTAAGTCGGTGCTTTGGGGCGTGAACGATAAATTGCACCTTACATTACCGTCCATGAACTGGCTCAATCAAACCGAACCTGGAACATTTTCAATCATGTTGTTTTGGGCGTTCTTTAGGGATTCTATTAAAGTAGTTCCTTTGGGTCATTTGATTTTTCAAATAACAGAAAAATATTGAAAAGTGTGCAATGGAAACGAGCGTTGCAACCATGGAGACTACAGGAAATGGAAAGAGGTCCTGATAAGGAATGGAATAAAGATAAGTGACAAAGTGATGCATATAAGACAGTAATGAATGAATAAGTGTATCATTTCGATCAAGAATTTGATAGTTGCTGTGACGAAATACTTGTTTGATGTCCTTCATACTATTTATGATTTTTGCAATTTTTGTCTGTAAAAATCATAATGTTTTAGTAAACAGACTACAGTGCAATTTGCAGAGCACATGAATTTGAGTGTCAATGTTTATTTGTTGTAAATTTCAACCATAACAATTCCCTTATCACCCTGTGGTATAACAAACATAATTGCATTTAAGTTTCAATTAATGGAAATATATATTACGATTGCACTTTATACCTACTTATATCACATTTCTTGCTTATCATATCGAAGATGTCGGTTTTGCAAACACATACGCTATTTTCACATACAGATCCTTCTAGTAAACAATACTCGCTTGAAGTACAGTGTCCACCATTTGGTGCTGAAAAGAATTATCAATAAGGTAAAACAATTAAAACAGAGACAGTTTACACGAATTTGTTTAGTTCGATTGTGTTTAAAGCTATAATCTTATTTAAACCTCTCAAAACTGTTCTTGGAACCAACCAGTACCATGCAAAAATGTGTTAACATTCTTGCTCATGGAAACAACGACTTGCGTCTAGCAATCCTTAAAATATTAATCTGAGGCGTGAACAGTTCTTACTTTTCAGAGGAAGATAATTCATTTCAAGCTGTGCGACTATTTCTTTACTGGTTTAAAACTATCCATGAAAAACAACAACCGAGACATTTTCATAAAAATATATTATATAGGGTTTTCGGAGTTGGCGTATATGTTTTGAAATAAAATGCATGAAAGAAATACATTTAAATATTTCCTTAAGCGCACAAAATTATTGCTACACGGTTATTTAAGCTCTACTTAAAACAGTATCATAACATAAAATAAGGCTTTGTACTCTTTAATCTAACGTAAAAGATCGGGACAAAAATAATGTTTAATCTGTTACAAATATCCCTGCATATCATTAAGATCTGACATTAAAACTCGTTTAAGTTTGAGTAAAACAAATGATAATTATTAATTCTCATATTTTATTTGTTAATTAATTGTTAAAAATGCTGAATACTTAATAAAAACAACATTACATTTCGCTACACAACGTGGTGTATCACCACTCCATTTTCCATCACTTTGACAGACGACAGTTTCGCTACCAACAAGAAGGAAATCGGTGTTACATCTGAACCTGACTCTGGAGTTAAATGTTGTACCGTTCGTGGCATTCATTGCACCGTTGTCAGGCTGTTCCAAATCATTACAATCTTATAAAAAACAATATATACAATCAATAAATACATAATAACTGCATATTTTAGTATGTCAATGAAATAGGTAACTACACTACTTTGGGATTTTCGAACGTTTTTACTTTTCATTTCCATAAAACATTATGTAAGAACAATTATTCAATCTCATATGCAGTTGTTGTGAACTTATTATTTGTATATTTATTGACATGTCTTAAATTTGATGCAATAAAATAAGTTTTAAAGCAAGAAATGACTTACATTGTAAATATTAATAAAAAGCGGCATATTTTCCGCCATTGCAAAAAATATTACAATTCAAGTACCTACACTGACAAAAATTGATAATGAGGTTTTATTTGTTTAATATTTGTTTATTTGTAATTCTTTTGTTAAGTTTAAAACTAAAAATATTTCTAAATAAACTTATTCATCAAATTCAAACTGAACATACAGACAATTTTGCAATAAGGAGTTTCACTCCAATGCCCATTTGATAAGCAAGTTATCACATTGCTGCTATTTAAGTCATATCCTGTGTCACATGACACGTCCACAATGTCTCCAAACAAAGTACTTTGAGATTTAAATACCACTTCTCCATTTGCTAAGGACAAATTTCCACAATCTTGAAAAAATAGATATTATAAATCACATTTTAATGTAAATAGTTAACAAATGTCTTTATAAAAATATAGTATTAAAATAATTGCTTAATATGCACTGTTGTTTACTGTTGTCTGATGTTAATTGTGATGTTCATTGTCTTTACATGAGAAAGCTATCAGCTAGCTTACCGACCGTAAGTGGCTCTTCTCAGGTGCCTGCTCTGCTGATACTTGTTTAAATGCACCCGAGGTCTTCTTCAACCAGTCAAGCTGGAAAGTCGCCATATGACATATTCTGTGTTGGTGCGACGTAAATACCAATCAATACAAGAACAATAACGAAAATAAAAGATATTCATTGAACAAAATTGTATATACTCATTTTACCGGGATTAATATCAACATGATATGAGATAATATAAATTATAAAACATGGCTATTTCAAGTGTCTTATTTCATAAACAATTACTAGCTTTTACTTCAGGTAGAAACACATTTAATATAAAAATATGTTCCTTTATACCTTCAATCTGACACGCAACAGTTTCATTCCAGCCTTTTATTGTACAAGTTATTTGACTCGGACCAATCAATTTGTAACCCATGTTGCAAGTCACGCGTACGTTTGAACAATAGTTGTTGAATCGTCAATAGTTGTGCCAATACGCCAATGAATCGTCAACGCGTTAATATATTATTAAATGAAATATTTTGGACAAGAATGCCTTTCACATTGAGCTAATAATAGAGGAGATACCTATAAAAAGATGATCGTAGACGACAGCCTTAAACTTTGATCTGTTCCGTCCAGTACAGCAGTAATATCAAAAAGTTAGTCAAGTGACAGTTTAGTCTTTTTATGTCTAATTCAATGATTAAAACTATCGAGATGAGCATGTCGTATCGGTATGGATTATCTTTCCAATTATTGAAGATTGGAACAAACTTAAATTTCAAAATCACTTTATATGTTGTACATCATTCAAATGATTCACCTTTCCATCCATTGGACAAAAGCATGTTCAAGATGTGTTTCGCTACCAAAATTGTTTTCGTATTATCTTATACACAATATTACTATTCAAACTGAGAATGACACACAAAATTGACACTCACCCGATGTATTGCAAACTAGATTATCACTCCATGTTCCATCAGACTGACAAGTAATCATGGAATCACCAAATATGTTGAAACCTGGTTCACACTCAATTTTAGCAATAGTGCCATAAGTGAACACTGTGACATTTGATTTTCCTTTGTTGGGTGCTGGGTCCCCGCAATCTAAAAAAGATATACAAATTCAATCAACACAACAAAATTTATACTTTAATTTTATTTTTATTAGCGACCTTTTCATAGAACCAAAACTTATTATAATGTCTTGCTCATCAATACTCGGATAGTCCTCTATCAGATGCATTAGTTTGCAATCTATTTTCCTAATTCTGAATCAGTTTAAAAACATTTTCATTCATTCAAATAGATGAAAAATGCATCGTCAAATAATTGTTCTTAAATCGTATCAATTTCATTTAGATAAGTTTTATCATTGTCATTTCAAAAAAATCTATCAAACCTTAATGGATTTTACTTTTTCCATTCATCTGAAAAATAGATGTCCATTACAGCAAAATTCTTGGCAAAACAGCGTCTTCTGATTAATAACTACATAAGTAAATATAAGCAGATCAAATAAAAATCAAAGACCGAATTATTTTAATCTAGAACCTTTGCTAATATAATTACCGACTTTTGTGCATTCAGGCCAGGTTTCCCAAGTACCATTAGCTAAGCAGGAAACAAGATAACTGCCACCTGGTTGATACCCATCATAACAAGAAACAACAGCAGTTTCTCCATATGTTGTTTTATTCTCTGTAAGTGTCGCCTGTGCATTGACAGGATTTGGTATATCACAATCTGAAATAAAACCAAACAAGGAGACATGAGATACAACCCACTACCTTATTGAAATCATTACAAAATGAAGTCTATATTGCTCCATTATAATAATATATTGAGATAGTGCCTATGCTATTTCATTTACATGAATTGCTTTTTACAATCAGAAACAAAATTGTGTTTGCCACAAATCCTTATTTTAATTGTTTTGCCAAAGCATATCCGTGTTTCAAATGTCATATAAAATAAAAATGATTAAGATAAAACATTAAATAGTTTTATACCTTTGATGATGCACGAGGGGTTATCTGTCCATTCATCACTAGGTTGACACATTATCACTGTTTCACCTTGTATTTCATATCCTTCGTCACATGAAATTATGGCAACAGTTCCGTTTGTTGTAGATGTTGTGTAAATAGATCCAAACTCAGGTGTTGGGTCGCCGCAGTCTTAAGAAAACATTAAGGAAACATGAATTTCATTTCTTGTTAAACTGTGCATTTTCTGACAGTCTTAATGCTTGAAGGATCTTAACTCATAACAAAGTGTTTTGTGTGACCTAGCTTCGGCCGTGATATCTGTTCTATAGCCATATTATTTATTTCAAATCATCAAAACACTTTTAGTTGTTTTCAAATGATATTTCTCCTATATCAATTCGTTTCAAAGAATATATCTAGACCATTTAACTTTTGCCGTATGTTACTGATAAAAACGACGATAATTTGATAGATAGCTAATTATTTAATGCCATACCTATCAATTTGCAAGTTGGACTGCTGCTCCATGTCGCATCAAGTTCACAACGTATTTCAGAATCACCAATCAAATTGTATCCGTTGTCACACGTGACCATAACAGCAGCAAGGTAATGAGTAGATGTGGAATTTATGCTTCCATTTGTAGGCTTTGGCGAGGGGCATTCTGAAAATTAGATCTTTATTTAAATGTTTCATTATATTCAATGCAAGTATGCCATTATTAAATTTAAACTCCTATAATGTATTTGTGTGATAGCTCATTGTAATGTATACAACTGTTTTGAATTAATTCATTTCACATAAAAGTAGAAAATATTAATGTACACTTTCCACGAAAAGACACCATCAAATATCTGAGTAAAATGAGTATATTTGTTCCTTCACAAAAATGAACAAAGTGCAAATAGTTTTGTAAGACAGTTAACAACATTATTAAATCTGGCTTTTATTTGCCTTTCTTGTCATATCAATGGATCAACTACATCAAAATCATGAAAACGGAATAAATATAAGAATATAAGAGTAAGACAATTTTAAGTCTGACATTAATAATTATGAACTGAACAAAACATGTTTATAGTGTATACATAAATTTCTTACTGTGTTTGTTTCTTCTGGAAGGATCTATCTTTTCCCGAACCCTTATACTTGTCTAAAAATTGGAAATTGCTGTGGAAAACGGTACGTATTTTGATTGAAGTTGAAACAACTTCTTGCATACTCTTGATCAAAATATGTTAAATTGTTTTCGTTTAGCAGAAGAAATTTTATAAGTTTGAAATAACTAATAGTGGCTTTTTGATTTATTGCTCTTACCAGTACAAACAACAGAAACATCGTTGAAGTGAAAGCAATTATCATACGTGACGTAACTACAATTGTTGATATGTGTAGCATTATCTGCACATTGTAAGTCATCAACAAATATTGGACCAGAACCTTCGCCAAAGTAGGCGCCGTGATGAAATGAGACAGCAGGACTGGAAAAAATATTTGCTTTTATAGCTTCGTTTTTCCTCATGAAGCTATATATTGAATGATAAATTAACGATCTTGAAACGCCGGAACACGTATATATTTATAAGAAAAAACTTTTAATTTATGATAAAATTACCATGATTTAAAAACGTTCGCAATTTTGGGAGTCTTCATTTGTAAACAGTGCTTTAAAACTATGTTTATGGTAACTTGTAAGTACATCTTAGGTGAATTCGGATGCAAGAAAATACTTAGTAGGTAAAATATATTAAATTTGAAACAGTTTGTAGATGTACTCTATCGATAATGAACGCCTTCCGTGTTGATCTTGTTTTTCATATTTCAAGCTGTAACACCTATATAATGTTGATTAGGTACATTACAGAAAGAGAAAGGATAAAAATTATAATCATTTTTTCTATGTAAACTATATCTTTAAATGAATTTCAAGTACATGTATCAAATTTTCTGAAAGACATACAAATGAATATAGATCATTCTCGAAGGTAATTTACTCAAGCATTGATTGAATCCTTTATTGATACTCAACTGTATGTATTTGATATTCAATAAAGAAAAGAGTAGTGTTTCTTACGGGAAGCCAATCATTGTGCATATTGTCTCAGCTTCATTTTTACCGAAACCATGGTCACATACTGTTCCCCACGTGTCAATAGATTTGATTTCTACCCTACCATTTGACGTTGAATTTCCCCCTGATAGTTTTATTTCAGTGATATCTAATGGATAGCCTGAAAAAAGACAAAGTTACCCTTGATGCAGTTAATTAATTTATAATATACTTGTATCTAATATAACATTATATTCTTTGCTTTAAAACATTCATTTTCTGTTATATTAAAAAATTACTAATCAATAAAACTAACTTCATATTCTCTTTTAATTATGGTGCTTATTTCTGCAAACAATTAAAAACATAATTATCAAGCTTAACTATCTAATTAACTATCTTTTTAAAAACAAGCAAATTCGTTGAATTTATACCCCCGCCGAGTACTGGTTATTATTAACACAACAACTGAAGACATAAGGCTTTATTTATATATTAATCATGGCATAAACAGTAATATTCTTTGAACTTGATAAATATTCAGGGCAATAACAGAGCCATAACTTTGTGTTAAATAGTAAAATCTGGAAATGCCAATGAGATGTATGCATACTACATAACTAATCAAGGGCCATAAATCTGAGTTATAAGTATCTGACTGGAACAAGGCGACTATATGCACATCTCCTCTTAGTATCCCATAAAGTTTCATTGAATTCCAGCCAGTAGTAGCAGAGAAGTAACGAGGAAACAAATAATTTTCTATATGGATACTGCATAACTAATCAAGGGCCATAACTCTGAGTTAAAGTGTCTGACCCGAACAAGCCGACGATATGCGCATCTGCTCTTGGCATTGAAGGTTCCCATAAAGTTTCGTTGAACTTCAGCCAGTAGTTGCAGAGAACTACTTCAGAAACGATTTTTACTCCATATGCATATTGCATAACTAATCAAGGGCCATAACTCTGAGTTAAAGTGTCTGACCCAAACAAGCCGACGATATGCGCATCTCCTCTTGGTATTGAAGGTTCCTATAAAGTTTCGTTGAATTCCAGCCAGTAGTTGCAGAGAACTACTCCGGAAACGATTTTTACTCCATATGCATACTGCATAACTAATCAAGGGCCATAACTCTGAGTTAAAGTGTCTGACCGGAACAAGCCGACGATATGCGCATCTCCTCTTGATATTGATGATTCCCATAAAGTTTCGTTGAATTCCAGCCAATAGTTGCAGAGAACTACTCCGGAAACGATTTTTTATACTACATAACTAATCAACTCTGAGTTAAAGGGTCGGACCGGAACAAGCCGACGATATGCGCATCTCCTCTTAATATTGATGATTCCCATAAAGTTTTGTTGAATTCCAGCCAGTAGTTGCAGAGAACTACTCCGGAAACGAAATTCGGACGGACGGATGGACGGAAGGACGGACGGACGGACGGACGGACAACGCCAAAACTATATCCCCCTCCCGATTCCATCGGCGGGGGATAAAAAGATACTTATTCGTTATTTATCTATGTAACAGAAAAATATCTTGTTTGTCTGAGAAATATCTGTTATTTATCGTGTTTACTCAAAAACAAATTAGTTAGTCAGATAGTTTACGCGATAGTTATGTGGTTAACTGTTGGCAAAAATATGACACCATATTTAATTAATACATCATGAATATTTTCCATTAATTCTAAAGACATTTAATTATGTATCATTTTCAATGAGTGCATTAATTTTGTTTTATACCATATTCTTGACATTCTCCTTCTGTTCTCCATGTCTGTGTAACATTGTCACAAGTCATCTTTAATACGCCTAAATATGATTTATAGTAGGAGCAGTCAGCATACAAAGTTGAACCATTGTATGTAAAATATCCAGCATCCCAATGAGAAATGTCTGGCTCCCCGCACTCTTAAAGGAATAAAATATATATTAAATGTAAGCATCAAATTTTCATTAAGGTTGTTCCGCTCTTCATTTATAACAAAAATAACAAGCAATTATCATAGTATTGCAAGCAACCAATAAATCCCCTACCGCTTAGAACCCCAGCAACATTCTGATGGGACATTGGCCATTCAATTTTACAAGTGAATGAATGACATGAATGAACTTAAATCTTTTGAGTTCTAAGTTTGTCTATATCACTGTAATGTGTTAAGTTTCCCTGCCTAGTAAGGCAATTATGTTTATACAACAGGTAATCAAAAGGTCCAATTTTCTCAGGATGAATAAGAATAACTAATGTTTCAACTTTTTTCTTTTTTTAAGTTAATTTGTTGGAAAAAAATCTTTAAAAGTGATCTCAGGAAACAGTTTTATGAACAGACAGACAGACTGAAGGAGACTCTAAAGTTATTTTTTCAAACATCTCTGTTACCAAAATATATCATATTTTAATGTAAAATTCTTAAAGACAATATAACTCTGGAAATAAAGATGCTAGATTTATGAACATTGTCCTATATGATGTGAGTTTTACTTTAAGTTTAAAGATACCATTTATAGTCACAAAGAAGATAAGTGAAAAACATAACAATTTTCAAATATAGCATTAACTATAATGTATAGTAAGTAACAAAGATGAAAATTAAAAAAATATATAATTTAGGTGTTGATATTGAATGTTTATTTTGAATTTTGAAGAAAGTCCATGAAGAAAAACTTAGAAAGTTTAAAGAATGAATAAGAAAAATTCAAAGTTTTAAAGAGAAGATAATTCTGGAAATATAGATTCTAGATTTATAAACCTTGTCATATTATTACGATGTGGGATTTTAAAGTTAATCCTATGAGGAATGAAGAAGTTGGAGTAAAAAATACCAATTTCTCGAAAAACATCTAAGTTCAAGAGGGACATAATTCTGGAAATAGTCTTACTATAGTATTTAACCTTCTCAAAAATGTTTAGTGATAATAAGAAACATATATATGAAGTTTGAAGTAGATACATTAAGAAATAAAGAAGTTAATTAAAAAAGACAACATTTTTTTCATAAAAATTCTAAGTTCAAGGGAGGTTATTCTGATAATTTTTGTGCTAGAGTTGTAAACCTTGTCACATATGATGTGATTGATGACCAGAAACTTATATTTAAAGTAAGTTTGAAGTAAACACCTTAAGAAATAAAGAACTTTTAGTGAAAAAGCTTAAAAAATTAAATCAGAAATCTTGAAATTCAGTCTATTTGTTGCCATAGCAACCAGAATTTTCAACATAGGAAGAAAAATAAAATATGTGCATAATCTCCAGACTGCCATCTACAAATATTTTAAGTTTCATAAAAATATTTTCAGTACTTTTTGAGTTATCACTGGATCTTGTTTATGTGTTAAATTTGCCATATTTTCAGACTATTTGTTGCCATAGCAACCAGAATTGTCAACATATGAAGAAAAGAAAAAGACGAGCATAATCTCTATACTGCCATCTATCCATATATCAAGTTTCAATAAACTATTTTCAGTACTTTTTGCGTTATCGCGGGATCCAGTTTTGTGGACAGACAGACTATCGGACTGACAGACAGACAGACGGACGGAGGGTAAACCTAAAGTCCCCTCCGGTTAAACCGGTAGGGGACTAATAAAATTTGTGATCCTTTATTTACAGACCTAATCAGAAATAATTCTAAATGCTCACTCGATGCATTGTTTGGAAAAGTCCAAAATAATTAGAAAAGCTAAATGTTAATCGAAGCTGTTGATTGGATGTTCCATCTTTATGCTAACAAAGAATTCTCTTGACTATTTTATTAGTTATCTTAAACACCTTTTTGTAGCACACTTAAAAAATTAAGACTCCCAAAATTCAGACGTTTTCAAATCATGATAATTATAAATCACAAAATAAGCAGTTTGTAGATGTACTTTATTAAATAGAGAAAATAAGAATCCCTAAAGAAAGATCAAAACGGCAAAATTGACAATGCTGCAGGCTCGGTTTGATTTGGCCTGTCCATGACCTGTAAAGTGTAAACTACCGTCCACTCCACTGACACCACCTTCAGCAGATATCCGCATTTAAATATGAATTGATAACATTTTGAATTTAGAAAATTCCGCAGATGTGTTATCAAGCAACCCATGTTTAATTACAATAAAGGATCAGACTTAATAAGAAACAACATACCATTACATATTATAGAAACATCTCTGCTATGGCTACATTCATTCAGGAACAAATACTGGCAGTCACTTAGCACATAATCATTATCTCCACAGAAAAGTTGATCAATGTAAACCGGCCCACTTCCTTCTCCATATAATGCCTCGGTGAAAAATCTCACAGCTCTTGTAATATTTATAGTACAAATATATTAAAACTTTATTCTTTCTACCTTTAATTCACAATTTTCTATTTATTTCACGAGAACTTTTGACAAAAACAAATTATAAATATACTTTAAGTACATATTAAGATATATGTGGATTCTTATGTATAAAAGAACTATACTCCTCAAACGTTTTTGCGTGAACATAATAATGATTTTACAATGATATTTGATGTACGGCATTGGTATCATTTATCCTAGGTATATGTCATGTAGTCGATATTCGTGTTTTGTTATTTGTTACGAATATCGTTTTTATGTATCATTTTGTCCTTGTATTTGTATATATTATTACATCTATATAGATCTAAACTGGTTACTTATGTAAATCAGTCCTATAGTGTATGGTGTACATTTTGGGCCATTTGAAATCCTGTTTTTACAGTCACATTCATTTTCTCTTTGATCCAATCCAATTTTTGTTTTTGGTTTCACTTCATCATGAGGGACTTTTCAGATGCAGATCTGGAATTTTTTGCTAGACAGCTACATAAATCTGATAAGTTTCAAGTTAATGCGATGGTAAGTGCTCCTCATACACTACACTCTAATCATACAATTAATGTCACACCTACTCCTATACGGGAACATATCAACAAAACAGATACACATAAGGTTCACTTTCCTCCACCTGTTTATAACATTCTTCCTCCACCAATGCCTATCTCTCAACCATTCTTGTCTTTTGTGACAAATAGGGATTTGGTATATGCCCGTATCTCTGAGTTACCTTTTTTCAGAAGATGGAAAATACAACTCGTCAATGTTTGAGATATAGCGCTATGATGTCAAGTGTCATTGATGAGGGTAATTATCCACCATTTATTATCAGAGAGGCTATTAGTAAATCTTTGAAAGGGCGTCGAGGGGTTTTTTGCTTTTATGTAAAATACCATTTTCCTGAGATATTGAATGTTTAGATGGAATTAACGGAATTTCATTAAACTGAAAGTTGGGGGAACATTTTATAAGACTCGAAGGTGGGAAAAGTCTGTTGCTGATTTGTTTGCGTTGGGAGAGGTTGCTTAAGGATCCTTGCAACTATGGGATGTCCAAGGTGAATGTTGGGTAGATTTGGGGGTCGGCCTTCTTGATATAAGCTAAGAATGCCTTTTCTATTTTTTTTTTTCAGAAGGAAGCTCAACCTTCAAACTATTCTAAAATTTTGAAGAAACTTACGCTAGTCTGGGGTTAGAAATTCTTTTTCCTCTTTTTCTAACAGGAAAAACCCCTCAGGCCAATTTTTTTTTGTTACTTTTTTCCCCCCTAATGAGTATGTTCTTGCACAGCAGTGTGTCACTCTTGTAGATAGTAGACTTCTCCGGGAAATAAGGGCCCTTTCTAAGCAGATGGAACGCATGGAGTTAAGGCTGTCTAGTATATAGTAGGAACCCAAGGGCTTGAAACAAAAGAGATCTTCTACTACTCAGGATATCAAAGCCTCTGCAAGTCCTTTAAACTACAGTCGACCTCCATCGCAGAGCAGATGAGAGGTCGTACTTCCCCTTCTAATGACCCTGCTTCTACATTTCCTCTAGTTGGCTCTTCTAAGGAATCTGACATTCTTGATAATGGCAATTCTATTATAGCTTTGAAAGATACTGCCTCTATGATTTCATCTATTGGAATTTCCTTCTTCAAATCTTTAAAGCCTCAGCCTGTTTTGTCACAGTTGTCAGATTTTATGTTGGATATTTCTTTTGATTATGGTTCTAAGGTACCATACTAAGGATATTCAGTTCTTGATATTTATTTTCCTTCTCTTTCATCACAATCTTTTTCAGCTCCTATTCTGACTGTTCCAGACACAGAGTACTCTTACAAAGTCCCTTTGATAATAGGCACCAGCATATTGAATGTTTTGAAGTCATCCGGAAAAGAGTCAAGATCATCTACACTTTCAGACATCATATCTTTCTTGCCTGACATTGTCACCAAACCTGTTACTCTTCTTCATCATCAGACTGTCATTGTTAAGCCTTTTAAAACAACAACATTTCAGGAAAAGGTGAGACATATTGACAACATGTCGTCTGGTGTTACAGAGTCTACTGATTCTCTTATGTTGATGTGAACTAGATTGGTACAACTTGGTAGTTCTTTTTGCAAGGTTCCAGTACGTGTTTGTAACTTGACTGCTAGAACTATCTCCATTCATCCAACAATGACTTTTTGTAATTTACATGATGTGTCTGTTGTTTGCATCATTGATTTTTCAGAGGGCGTTGACCATGGTATTTCTATTCCCACTGAAGTTTTAAATTCTGAACAGCGGTTCTTTACCCAGGTTGGTGCTGATTGTAAGGAGCATGTAATTTAGAAGGGGTTTGAGAGCAGGAGAAAGAGTTCTTGGCTCTGTGTGGTCTGTCTGTGATAAGTTCCATGATTACCTCTTTGGTAATTCTGTGGAAGTTAGAACAGACAATAACCCATTTACCTATGTGTTTTCATCTGACAAGCTTGATGCTATCAGTCACAGGTGGTTATCCTCCTTGTCTGCGTATGACATCAACTTGCGGTACAGAGCTGGTAGAGAGAACATTGACGCCGATACACTGTCTAGAATTCATTCAGCTTCTCCTCTTCCTGATTCTAACATGCCCCTTTCAGATGCCGTCAAGGCTCTTTTGTTTTCTAAATCTGAAGGTCCAGGTCAACTCCCAGCCAAAGAAAGTATTTCATTTAACCAAACTGTTCTTTCTCTTAATTACAGAGACGAGATTGAAGTCGGGAGCAGCCTTAAGTCAATTGATTTGAAAAAGGAGCAGCAAGATGATCCGATACTTTTCCGTTTAGTTTCACTCTTTTGAAATTGGTCACAGGTTAACTGAACACCAAAACTCCACATGAAACCGGCAGCTGAAGGATCGAAGCAAATTTTACTTTGATCTTTTCATTGTAATAGGTAATTTTTTCAAAAATACTCAGCTTTTTCCCGAAGCATATGATTGAATCGTTAGTTCCAGGATTGCTGATTGAGGCCAAGGACATCCAAGGGTTTTTGTAACAAGTAAATATTTCCTTTGTTTTCCCGTCCAGCGTTTTTATTTTCCTTTGGCCTCAGTTAGAACAGTTATCAACACAGGGGGTTTTCGACTGGACCCCAGTAAAAATGGTATCCCGAAGGAAAAGTCATTGGATAAACGACTGCCCTAAGCTTAAATCCTGTTCAGTCCTAAGTTTTAATTGCAAATGGACTTGGTTCTTGTAATGGGGATTTTCTTTTCTTCTGGAGATGTTCCCTTGGGGGTTTTTTGTTCTGGAAAACATCCCTATGAAATATTATGGAATAACTTTTTACACGTTTTCTTGCTGGTCAGGCCTTAATCTGCCCAAGAACAAACCTGCTCATCTTCCGTAAACTTCCTTCATTTTGAAGAAATTGTGGGGTTTGTCCTATTGGGTTTTCCCTTTGGTCGGTTTCATTAGTGGGACAGGGCGAAATTCTTTTGGACAAGTGAAAAGTCTATCCGGGAGGTTTTGTGCAAGGTTGGCAATAATTTGAAACAAGACCGCGTATCATCCCTCAGTGGAAATGGGGATGCCTGAAGGGCCGCTTTAAAGAACTATTTGAATTGTCCAGGGAACACTGGAAGGAATGGACAAGAAGGGCCCACCATTTGGGGAAATCTATTCCAATGTTCCCCCGGTTCTTGGTCCTTATGCCTAGAAACTCTACTCCCGTTTTTTCTACTGTTTTTAATTCCTTCCTATAGTTTGGTCCCGCACCCCAAGAAGGCTTTCATCGATGGCCGTTTCTAGGAATCGAAAAACCAGAAAAAATTTTTTTTCTGTCCCAGGCCCTTCTTTATGTTTTCTCGGTCGCCTCCAGAACAGACTAAAAATTCGGCAAGTATTTTCTGTTTTTTGCCACTCCTTCCCGTAAGGCCTTTGAGAAAAAGGCAAAAAACATTAAAGGTACTATGAAACTCTCCGTGTTTGAGAGCAGCAAGATATTTGGGCCCCGGGGATCGGAGGTTTAACTGGGTTCGAAATTGTAAAGTTGTTCCGGGGAAAATTATCCCAAACCTTGCCGATAAATGGGGAAGGGATGTCTTTACACGCATTGTTTTTAGCCCAGCCCCTCCCACCTCTTTGGGAACATTTACATCCCTATGAAAAGGTTGGGGAAAAGGAAGGAAAACCACATGGAAAGGTTCCAGGCTTTTTTGCCAGCAGAATTTCTTTTTTTCTTCCCTTTAATGGGGATGCTTTTGGTTGGCAAAACAAGTCTTTGAGTTTCTTTATCAGCCCGCTCCTCTGAAACACTTGCATTCGGAATTCGATTAGTTATCCAATTCACCCCTCCCATGATGTTTTTACTTCTATTTCCTTACTTACAGGTTTTCGCCCTTCCGTTAGAATTTTCAAATCCCCCTCAACTTCAATCAAATGTTTCAACATAGTTTTTTCAGATACATGACTCCCTACAAATTTTTTGTACATTCAAACATCTTTTTTTGAACATCAGAAAAACAAGATGCCACGTCAACAACTTCCAACAACTTCCCTTATTCATGTTTCCAAATAAACATCACATTTCTTGTTATAGTTCAAAAATATGTTTTTAATTTCTGGCAACTGAATAATCCCCACTAAAGGGAAAACCCAACAACAAAACAATTTCAAGAGAAAAGAAACCGCACAGAAAGAAACCGGATGGATGCCTAAAATGGATAAACTGGAAATTAATAAATGCTTTTTTCTTTTTTCCTTTTATGTCATTGGGGGTGTTTTAATTTTTAAAATTTTAAGGGGCCCCTTTTGGGGGTTGGGTACCCCGGGGGGTGGTTTTTCCCCGGTTTTTAAAGTTTTTTTAAAAAATTTTCCTTTTTTCCTTTGGGGAAAAATTTTTTTAAAAGTAATTTTACTTTAAAATAAAAATAAAATTTTAAATTTTTTGGGGAGTTATTTTCCCCAAAAGAAAAAACAAAGGTTTTTACTTTTAAAATTAAATTTTTTTTTTCCCGCGTGGGTATAATTTTTTTCGCGATTTTTCCCGGGATAAAGGTATTTTTTTTGGGAAAATTTCTTTTTATTTTTTAAGGGTTTTTTGGCCCTACATTTATCCCCCATAAAACCCGAAATTTAATCAAAAAACCCAAATCCCGAAAAATTTTTCCCTTTTTATTTTTTTTTTTTGGGGGATTAAAAGCTTCCGAGGGATCACTTTGGTTTTTCCAGTTTTTTTGAAAACTTTGCCCAAGGGGATTAAAATTTTTTATTACAGGTTTTTTTAATTGCTTCAGTAAATTGGAAAATTTTTAAAATTTTTTTGGAAAAGTATTTGTTTCTTTTTTGAAATTTTACGCTTACCCTTTTGGGGGAATGTCTTTAAATTTAATTCTTCCCTTTTCCGGGTATTTTAAAAAAAATTTCGGGGGGACATTCCCAAAATTTTTGGAAATAAAGTTCCAAAAGTGGGGGGCCCATTTTTGTGGTTTTTGGTTTTTTTGGTTTTGAAAAAAAAATGTTTTTTTTGGGGATCATTTTTTTCCTTTTTATTTGTTTTACATTTTTTATCTTTGTTTTATTTTTTTCTTTTTTTTATTACGTTTTTCTTCTGTCCCAAATTTCAATCCCCTTTTTTTCCCAATTTAAACAAAATTCCCATATTTATTCCCCCCACCCTCACTTTTCATTATTAAACAACTAATTTTTTATATTTTGTTTTTCCCCATAAAATTGGGGATGCCGGGCCTAATTTTTACAAATTTCCCCCGGAAAAAACCCCCTCACCCAATTCCGGGACTTTTTTAAAATTAAAAATTTTTAATTTTGCGCCCCCGAAAATTTTTTTTGTGTTATTTATAAAAATTAAAAAGGCGTATGTTTTTAAAGTCCCTTTAAAGGGAAATGTTGTTATTAAAATTTTTGTTTTTATTTTTCCAAGGGATTCCTTTTTTTTTGATCGTTTTGTTTTTTGGGAAATGTATTTAAAGCCTTTTATATAAAAGTTTTTTTTTAAAAGGTTTTCGCCAGAAAAATTTTTTTTGTGGTTTTTTTTAAATTTTTTTTTTCAAAGGGGGGGTAGGTTTTTTGTTCCCCTTTTTTTTGGGTTTTAAAAAGAAATTTTCCCTTTTTAATTAAAACCGGGGTCCCGCATTTTCCTTTTTGTAAATTTTTTTTTGGGGATTAATTTCCCCTTTCCCAGGAAAAACTTTTGGGGGTTTTTAAATTTTTTTTTTACTCACAACAAAGGTGGGCCAAATGCTGTGTGGGGAGCCCGTTTTTAAAAATTGCCCCGGGACTTTACCCTTCCCGTTTTTTGTTTTTTTTTTTTTTTGGTTTTTCGGATCCCTTGAATTTCCCGCCATATTAAGTGTTTTTAGAATCGAGTTTCCGCTTTAAAACCGGTTTTCTATTGGGGCGTGAAGGGGGTTTTTGCAAAGTAAAATTTCCCCAAAAAAACCCCCATGTTCGAAACCCCCCAATTTAAAACCCAGTCTGCTTCTTTTTTAATTTTGTTTTTTGAAAAAATTTCCTTTTTCCCAGGGGGTTAAATTTTTTTCCCCCGAAATTTGGGGGATGTCCCTTTTTTCCCGGCCCCTAAACAACCCTTCCCTTTTAAAAGTTTAAAAGGGCCCCTCGGGGAAAAATACATTTAAAAATTAAAACAAAAATTATTTTATGGTTTAAAAATTTTTCTTTCTCAAAAAACCAACCCAATACTCAAAAATTTCAATTTCCCTTTAAAATCCTCTCTTCTAAAAATTTTAAATTTTGGAAATTGGGGGAAAAATGGTTAAAAAAAGGCAAAATTTTTGTAAAACCCCGCCCCTTAAAAGTTAAAAGGGGTAAAAATTCCAAAAATGTTTTTTTAAAAAATCCTTTTTTACATGGTTTTTTTTTCCAATTTGAAAACCCTTTTTTAAAAACATTGTTTTTTAAACAACTTTTTTTTTTAAAACCAAGATGCCCCCAAAACAACCCCCCGCAAACTTTTGGGAAAAGCCAAAAAAATTTGGGAAACGCAAAAAAGTTTTCCCCCCCTTGGTCCCTTAACCTTTTTATTTTCCCCGCCTACCCGGGCCGGGGTTTTCCCCGGGGTTCCCCTTTGGGTTTAAACGGGAAAAAATTTGTTTTTATTTTAGAAAAAGGAAAACCCAAGAAAAAAAATACTTTTTTTTTATTTAAAAAAATGGAAAAAAATTGGTTTTATTTAAAAAATATAAAAATAATTCCTTTTTTTTAAAAAAGGTTTAAAATAAAAACTTTTTAAAAATATTTTTTCCCCCTCCCCGTTAAAAAAAAAAGGTTTTTTCCCTTTTTAGGTTAAAAAACCATAGCAAGGCTTTTTTTTTTAAAAAAATTAAAAATTGGGATAAAACAAACCCCTTTTTTTATGATTTTAAGCTTTTAAAGAGTCATGACGAATATATTTCGTTTTTACCCTTTTTTTTTGAAAAGTAAAACCCAAATTAAAATTAAAAAAATAACGTTTTTTCGAAAAACGGGAAATTCCAAAGCATATCACTGGATAATTTTTTTCCTTTTAAAGAAAAAAAATGAAAACGGGGAAATAATTGGGGGGAAAATTTGGGAAAAAAAAATGTGCAGCTAAATTTTAAAAGTGAGTAAAAGTAAAGGGGTGTCCCCCAAAACGGGGCCCCTTTTTTTTGTTTTTACTGGTTTATAATGGGGATTATGATAGTAGCGGTAATATCTGCAAGGTAACAATTAGTAAATTTTAGTTTCTTGCTTAACAGAGAAAACGATATTAAATATTTCCTTTGTAATAAAGAAACAATATTACAGTTTCAAAGTGCTAAATCATTTTTTTTCCTCTTTGAAGTCCGACCGATTAGAATAGTCTGAAATAAGCATAAACAATTACCGTAATCCAAACATATTGCATATAACATTTGCTGAATTGGTGTTGAATATACAGATTGTTCCCCATTTGCCTAAAACATTATTAACTTCGACTCTTCCATGATATGGTCCATTTGTACCGGCAAGACGCAATCCAGATATAGGCATGGTATACCCTGTAAAATGATTTTAAACATCTGAGAGTATAACTTTTCGTTTACAACAACTGCTTTTTATTTAAATGTTATTTATATGTAACAAGATATTATTGATCAAGATCAATAACTTCTGAAAAAATCATGTATACAATTTCTGTTAAATGCAGCATTCAGCAAACCTATAAAATTCTAGAATTGAATCTCAAATATACAAATTTAATTCTGTATTATTCCAGTGCAAAGAATGGCAATGGCATTAACCATACATCTAAATTGATATTTAAGTAAAAGAAAAAATGGAAACTTTAAAGAACTTTCAAAGCATAAAATGGAGTTTGTTCATGGACGGTTATAGTACGTTCAGGCTATCGTCTTTTCATACGGCGGTAATCATGGAACTTTTTATATGACATGTTCGTGCCATTCCATGAAAATTCCATTCAAATGGTACACAATTAAAAGAATGTGTGAGCCCTTAACGTAAAAACTATGGACTCAACTAAATAAAATAGATTTTTAAAGGAGATCTGTGGTTATGTCACCGGCATATAATTGATAAGACGTCAAAAACCAGTTTTAAAAGCAGGCTACATATCCAAAGACTGAATAGAGAAATTGGCTAGAATTATTCATGTATATTCTGGCTATTATTGTAAAGTGCAATGAGATTTTAGTTTTTTCCTAAAGTACTATTCGTCAAATATTTAATATGATATATTTAATGATAACAACATCATACACCAGAGTAAAGAGAAAAAATGAAAATAAAATAATTACCTGTACAGTAGACTCCTGCACTATATGGGGACAAGCAATCATTATCTACATTGTAAGAACAGTTGTTGATATGTGGTTCATTTCCATTGCATTGAAGATTTGAAATAAAAAACCGGATGTCGTCCTTTGGTTGTAAGTAAACTTGATTTGCACTGTTAAAAAAGGATATACACATATTAATTTCTATAAAAAGTGTACATTATATTCCTGAATCATTCGTTTGATATATAAACGCAGATATAACAATACATTATTAAATGTTCTTTAAGAAAAAAACAGAAAACAGTGCACATCTGACTTATAAATGTCACAAAACCACATTGTTAGTCAAGTTTTTAAGTTTTTTGTCCAAAAATAATCTTTAAAAATATCAAAGGAAAAGTGCCATTTTTGCATTTTTCTCTTACATGGTTTTCTAGGTCTATGTATAAAACTCAAAAAAGTAACTTAGTTTCATATAGTGTATTTAATATTCAATCATCACTATGTCTTATTGTATAAATGTAACAAAAGCATACAATTTGAATGGTTTTAGACTTGGTCAAAGTGGGTGGGGTAAATTTATCCGACAATTGTAATACAAAATTTGCAAAGGCAAGTAATATTCATTTCGTTCACCGTGTATATCCAGTAACGCAGGATTGTGCAAATAACGCAGGAATTGTGCAAAAATAGTGCAGAATTGTGCAATTTAGTGGCTTAAAGGAGTACCTCGATGTGTAAATGGACCCGTATTTTTTATTGTTCACTAAAATGGAAGAAATGAATTAGCGCATACGGCTTCTGACACATAATTCTTTAAACCTCATCAAAAAAATGTCCATTGAAATGTTTATCATTCGTGAAAATGACGACCTGACTAGCGCACTGATTTCGATTTTTAGTTTCGTTGATATCTTTAACTACAATAACGTACATATTTCATTATGATTTTTTATATTCGGTGTACCCTTTAAATTTTTCAATCTACTCGTGTCATATTACACTTAATATAGCAGATAAAACGTTATTGAGACCTTTTTTACGAGGTAACACCGAATTCGTGTATGAAACATTGTAGTAACGGTGTTTATCTCATTAAAACTAGCTAATTCTTATTTAACCAGCTTCCCTCTATTGTTATAGGACACTTGTAATTTGTCAAATGTCATAGGTATACCGAATATTAAAAAATAATGGCTAAATGTGTTCATATTTATTTTACGAAAGACATAACTTTCCTTCAAAACGGTAATCAGTTTGTCTTTTTCACGAATGATCTAAAGAAGTAAACATATTTTTGAAAAAAAAAAAAAATTGTAATGCTTGATAAAGTATAATGTTGTCGGAGCCGTATGCGCGAAACTTTTTCTTTAAATTTTATTTAGAGTAAAATATTTTGGTTCGTTTACTGACTGTTTTAAAACGTATGGCAAAAATATTGCACAGATTCGGCGTTACTTTTACACAATCCTGCGTTACTGGATATGCACGTGTCAAGCTTTGGTTTCACTTATGAGATTTTTATCGATATTCTGAGCGGTATTTGTGATTATAAGTTAAGAATCGCTATACTCCTGGTCTTGCTACACTGCTAAGACTAACTACAGTATTGGACTTGCTGCAGTATTGGACTTGCTGCAGTATTGGACTTGCTGCAGTATTGGACTTGCTGCAATATTGGACTAGTAACGCTTCTTAGACTTGCTGCACTCCTAAGACTTGCTGCACTATTATACTTGCTGCCCTTCTTGGACTTGCTGCGCTCCTTAGACTCCCTGCGCTTCTTGGACTTGCTGCACTATTAGACTTGCTGCACTATTGGACTTGCTGTGCTTCTTTGACTTGCTGCGCTCTATTAGACTTGCTGCGCTTCTTGGACTTGCCGCACTATTAGACTTGTTGCACTATTGGACTTGCTGCGCTTCTTGGACTTGCTGCGCTTCTTAGACTTGCTGCGCTTCTTAGACTTACTGCGCTCATTGGACTTGCTGCGTTTCTTGGACTTGCTGCGCTCCTTAGACTTGCTGCGCTTATTGGACTTGCTGCGCTCCTTAGACTTGCTGCGCTCCTTAGACTTGCTGCGCTTATTGGACTTGCTGCGCTCCTTAGACTTGTTTCTTTTCTGGGAAGCGGACCGTTCTAAGACTTGCTTCTTTACCGGGAAGCGGACCGTTGCTTAGGCTCAATTCTTCACTAGAAAGACGACCGACCGTTTTCTAGACTTGCTGCTTTATTCGGTTCCTTCGCTGGACCTGCTCACCAACAAGGAGACTTGCTGAAAATAAGCTTTCTGACAATATATAGAGGATATTTGTTTGTTTTGCATGTAAGATTGAAATATAATTTCACTGAGTGAACACCAGATGCAATATTTTCACGAGTTGCGTAGCCACGAGTGAAAATATAATAGCTGGTGTTCACGAATGAAATATATTTCAATCTTATATGTTAAACAAATAAATTTTCTTTTTATTTCATGCTTTTTTTTAGTGATTTTAGTATTTTTTTGGTGATTTTTCCGCGTAACGTCGCGCATTCTCCTTTTTGACGTCATCACATCATGACGTCACACCATCAATTTTGAAATATAGTTCTGTTAAATTTCTCTACATTTTTAAAATGATGCATGGTAACATCGACTTTCTTTTCCTAAAGAAGCAAAATTTACGCATGACGACATTTATGTCTGCCTGTTATTCCATTTGGTTATGATTTTCTTTTCATCCGCATTCAAATATAGTTCGGCTACAGTGAAAATTATATTTTATAAATTTCACTACTAGTGGTTTATCAGAATATAATCATCTGATATATTACAATAAAACACTGGAAAGCATGAAATAAATGAAACTCGAAATTCGAAATCAATTTTTTTTATTTTTTTTTTTATTTCCAATTTCATTTCATATAAATACACAACGCGCGAACCGGATGGAACGCCACAATTGTGACGTCACGTCAAGACAAAAAATAATACAAAATGGCGGACATTTGTGTTTCTTTTCATAAATAAAATGGCTATTTTGACACACGGTGTTTTTGCTTTTTTTTTTCTTATGCAAATATTCACTGTAAAAGTATTTTATTGTATTTAGGTATTTTTGCCTTCTTTCAGGTCTAGGGGGTGTGCTAAAATATCAATAATTGCAGATACAATTATTTGTATACATTCAGTTATAAAATGTGTTTGCATGATATTAGTTGTTTCAATTTTCTTAACATAAATTGTACAGAAAGAAGACTGAATATACATCAACGAAACATATGTTAGATAAAATTATGCCTGCACATGAGTGAAATAATGTATATTTATGAATACAATTATTTCCTGAACAATTTAGACTTGCTAAAAGCTTGTAACAGAATGATTCAAAGTTATATTTACTTTCACATCATTGTAACCAAGTATAATCGAATTAGTACTATCCATTTCTAATAGCTTATGAAGAAATGATATTTTAAAAATATACAAAAATTTAGGCGACTGATACACCATATTATCTATGTGTGGTGAAATAGGTTTCAACAATATCGCATGACCCACATAACTTATGATTTGAAATATAAAGTAAATGTACATATACTTTATTTTCCCCATTAAACAATAGAGAATTGATGACCTTAAACCACTCATAAGATTGCAAAGGGCTATAATTCTTTAATACTTAAGTGCACTATCTATTTTTACAGGGGCGTAGCTTGAAAGAAATCAAGGTGTAGGCACTTGTTTTAGCGGGGTTCGGGGGCATGCTCTCTACATTGCCATAGCTGCATTCTGGGGTATGTTAAGGCATGTTCTGAAGGAAGAGTATTACTAATTTTGCTGAGTTTTGGTTACATTTTCTCCATCAATTTAAAGATGAGCATATTTATATCACTAACTCAACGCAAAGCTATTGTGACATTTTGGCAAAAAGAGCTTTTTTCCGTATATAGTTTTGGGGTAACAATATATGAATCAAAAACTATACATTTAAAGAGAACAAATTTATGCAAATTTTAAGCAATCATCAAAATTTCAAATTCAAAATCAGGTTGTTTAAATATATGATAAGAAATAATGAAAACAAAGATCAACAAGATCGAACGTCATTAACTTAATGCACCTCTATACACCGGGCAGTTGGTATTTAAATACCAATTGAGGATGAAATATCTAATGTCACACATACATACATACATTTTCTCAATAAGAGTTTATGCTCCCATAATTCATGAATGAAAGCCGTAGTGAATATAGAACATAGAATAGACTGTTTACGTGAAAGCAAACATATGAAGAGAGTAAAGACAAGCAAACTTACACCTCCAATACGTTACCTACAGTAATGTAAGAAAAAGAATTCCGAAAAACTTTTATTATCAAACATTTTTGTAATTTCAATGAACTTTTTCGCGCGAAGTAGTGTCAGATTGTTAAAAAATCTATTTCACAATTGTAAGAATTACTATCAGTGTGAATGAACTCGGCATGTCAGATCGGTCATATTCATTTACATGTACATGTTTAAGAACTAAAAATCGGATATTTTCAATCATGTTTTTCCTTTCACTCTTCATTTCTTCTAATATTTCTCCATAAGTTACCTAAGTCTCTCTATAGTGATAATTCAACAATCAATTATTCTCTTATTTTTTCGCTGTACAATAAAAGAGCTTACATCTATCCCCAACATTTTGTATCTTTATTTTGCTAGAGAGGTATTGTTTTAGATGTTTTCCAATCCAATCTGAATTACATTGTTGTGAAATGTTTATAAATGTTACTTTATGTGCAATTTAATGAATAATAAAGTTTCATTAAAGTATAAATTAAAAAAAAGAAAGAAATTGCATTGCTAGCTTTATAAGCAAACTCTCCACAACTACGCTAATTAATGCAGATTTTGATGAGAATTCGAACACATTACTTGTATATATTATATAAAATTAAAATACATTTTTAAAATGTAATAACACAAATTATGTTCCACGTTACATCAAATCGACTTATGCGCAAGATTTGACGGAGATGCAATTTGAACAGAATAATGTACAAATAATTAAATCATGAATACCTTAAGAAAGGAAGAGAATATAAAAGACAAGATGTCTAGGCTTCATTCGAACTCATCAGTTGTATAAAACTAGCACTACCGATATCTGAATATGGCCGATCATTGCCGTGCATACTTATAATATTTTAATTATATTTTGAATCGAAGCGACCAAAAACTTCTATATTGTCAAAAACTTCATCCGTCTCTGAAAGGTTTTACCAGAGAGCAACTTAATAACACGGCAACACTTTCGTTATGAAATAAAACTCGATATAAAGAGTATAAAATTCGATTCAAATAAGCAAAGTGACAGGTCATTTTCTAATATTAGGACCTGCACATCTACTGCCCTTACCCTTAAATTTTTATCGAATTTTTGTAATAATTTAATTTTTCATTTTTGAGGAAAAAGTGTAGGAACGTGCCTACAGTGAAGCTACGCCACTAAAGTCTAGTCTAAGATCATATATGGAGTATCGTTTTCACCAAATATAGCCATGATTTATAAAGTATTTGAAAAGAAACATGCCCAAGAACTAGGCTCTCACAACTTTTCACACAAGAAGACTAATATATAACTATTTTCCAAAAAGAGTGCACTGTTGTTTTGGAAAAGATTTTTAATATATAAGACAATGTAAACTAAGTGACATCCTAGGGGAAGCCATTTTGGACTGCAGGAGCATGATTTAAAGTTTTTAAAGACTTGTAAAGGGAGTCACATTAAAGTCTTTTTTTACTACAATGCCTAGAGCTTAGAAAGTCAAGATATAACATTGCCATGTAGAGAAGACCTCTTTTAAAGTTACATAAAATGCTTTCGAAATTTGCAAAGGTAAGTTGTAATACTCTACAAATATTTGATAAATTATGGACAAGATCGTTAAAATTTGCCAAGCACCAGAGGTCACTAAGTTTATATGCATTCTTATAATACTGCACATTTGTAACGTCATTTTTCATTGGATAATTGTGACGTCTATATAGTTTTATATACACGGCTGCTGTCGATTCATGAAGAAATCTTACTTTTTCTTTAAAAATAATGCTTGCTGTATTATAAATTCGTTATAAAGAGTGTTGAAAGGGTATATGACCATATATTAAAGGCTGTTTGCAAAGAGCTGTTTACAAATAGTCGTTTATATAGGGTCATATAACCTGTCAACGATCTTTATAACTAATAATATATGAAAATGGTTATTTAAGTCCTCTTTTGTGAATTTGTTTTAGAAACTAAATATTGGGCATGTTTTTTTAAAAGCAACCTGATATAAATATTACACAAATCATGTGTGTTTTGACGTAATTGACACGCCCGAAATGATCTTGTTACCTACCTAACTTTATTAAAGAATTGTGACATTTTTCTAACAATCATTTTTAGTTGAGTGGTCCAAGAACATCATTACCTTCTAAAAGAAACAAAATGAGATATGATTACTTAGTTATGGAACACTTAGTTTATATCCTCACTTAACAAAAAAACCTGCATGCAAGCCAAGCCATACCTTTCTCATCACATTGATGATGTGATGTGGCAATAGCCTTATTTTTACTATGTATGTTCAGAATCAAATAAAAAAAACATTATCTCATTTTCTTGGCCTTTAAACCATGTTTATATAATAAATATGACATTGGGAAGGAGTAAAAATATGCGTTCATGAACTACCTTTATACCTTTGATTCATGTAAATGTTTGCAATTTAAAGCATGTTTAGTTGATTTATTATGATTTATTGTCTTCTTATATATCTTTACAATTAACAATTGATATATAATATAAAATATATTGAAACAAGAATTATTATGCAACCAAATTTAATAACTGAATGGTATACACATGTTTGTATGTGCATTTCTTGTCCACCCATTTGACCCGAAGGAAGACCAAAATACCTTCATCCGATAAAAAGTAATTTTTAAGTTGGAACATTGCTTTACTAATTCATAGAAAAGTAAAGAAAGGCAAAGAAATAGAATGGACTTTCCTGTGTATAATTTTTGTTGTTTTTCTATTTCAATTATCAAATAAAATTATCCCACCCACTTTCACAAAATATATAACCTACAGATTTTATTGTTTTCTTACATTTTACAATAGACACATGGCATTAATGGAATGCCAAATACAGTATAAGAAACAAAGTAACCTTTTAAAGTGTGTACATTAATTTAGAAAATCAAATTTGAGAAATATGCAAAAGTTGGAATATTTTTTAATGATATTTTTAAAGATATTTTTTAGACAAAAACTTTTAAAATGGTTATTCTTATTAAGATCAACATATAATTTGATTATCTCTGATATGTTTAAACATTTTCTTATCATAATAAACAATATTTGTGCAACAAATTTTACCATTAAAATGATATAACACTTTTGCACAAAATTGGCGCAAAATTGTGTAAAATTTAAATTGTTAAAAAGGGAGAAACTATATGCATGCTTTGGTGTAAGTTTCAGGTCTGTACAAACAATTGGAATGAATGAGCTATTATTAACGTCAAATGGATATGGCGGCCATTTTGAAAATGGCGGCCATCTTGAATGAGCAGAGATATTTTTGGCCGACTTCACTTTTGAAATCTACATGGTCAAAGATGATTTCCTGAATGTTTCATGCTTGTATCACCATTTACACTATTTTATCATTTTCCCGCCCCACAAATGAAACATCTTAATACCACACTGGCCATAGCTTCCACAGGAGCGCCGAGTCAAACGCTGTGGTGGTGAATATGGGGAACGTTTATAAGTCGTGGCCACGAGAAGAAATAAAACTGAAAATGTCACCTCTATGCAACAGTATTCCACAGGGGGGTGCGTTTCGAAAAAGTAGCCTCTTTTAAGGCTAATTTATAATTATATTTTTATGATTTCACAGTATAATTATAAAATGTATTTCTATTTATATTTCAGCAATGCACTCAAAGTCATATTGAAATAAAAAAAACTACATTTTGTAAATTAAATGACTTAAAAGATACAATATGATAAGAAACGTACTGTAATCCGTACTGTATTCCATAATTATAATATAATGATTCGATACGGAACATTAATCCGAACATACGACAAATGACGTTCGCCTCTGCAATAGTAAAGTTGTGGCTACAAATAGTTAACCGAATATCATCAACTTTAATTTCAACACGACCCTCGTAGTATGGACTATATTCGTGAAGACCATGAGGACCATATCCGATAAGCATCATATCCCGTATTTCTAACGGATTAGCTATAATTAAAATATTTTATATAAATATAACAGCTCTGGCAGATAGTCTTTTAAATGATTTTGTATTTTTTTTTGTACCAAAGTAAAATATATTTCTATGACATGCCATATTGTGAACTAAAATCAACACAGAAATGAAATAACTTTATGTGTAGATGGTGATAATAGCCTTTATTTTAAATTTTTGGTCAGTCATCATTTTGTAATTGAACTTAAAAAATCCAATTGCTTTATGATTCTTATTATTATAAATATGTATCGTATATTGACATAAATTTTAAATAAGATAAGCAGTATAAGTAACGTACAATATTTTGATGAACATTTGTCATTTTGCAACCAAGTCCCATTCGCAAGACAATCAAATGTTATTTGTTCTGGTTGATAGCCAACGCCGCACTTTGCAGTCAGTACAGTACCATTAAAAGAATCAAAAGATCCATATTGTATTGTCGGTTTACCACAAGCTGTAATTATAAACAAAATAATATTAAGTTTTCTATGGATGTTAAGTTTTGATTATGAAAATCAGAAAAATTGTATTCCTTCATCGGGATCAATGGCTACAGTTAAAGGCTAAAAAATTGCAGACTTTGTTTGTTTGGGATTGTTCGTAAGAAAAAACAATGAAAAGTGAAATATCTCTCATGATCCCTAGCAAAGGCTTAAAACGGTATTCAATCCTCAAAATGGTATTCATTCCTCAACACTTAAAGTTATAGAATAAATAATCCTGAAGGATCAGATAAATGTAACACAGACTGAAATTCCTAAGGTTCAAGATAAAAAATGTAATCAAGTCAATAAAAACAAATCATGTCATGAGCAATTCCAAAACTATTCCAGAATCTTTTGTTTTGAATGCTTAAGATTTAAAAAAAAGAGGGTGGTGAATAAATCTTCATTATGAATGGTGGTTCTCGATGCATTTTTAGGTGCACACTTTGACCCTGAGTATTACATATTGCAGCAGTGATCCAGTCTCTAATTACCCATAATCATTGTGTGTCAATTTCTCATATTTTATTTTTCATATCCCTTAAGCCCATTACCCACTCTCCATACTCACGATAGATTATTGATTAAATTTCTGCCTGAACTTTGTTTTTAAACTAGCCAACTCACACATTAGGGAAGGTAGCAATCCGTGCAAATGGCATGATGTTAGAGAATGACCCATCGACGGTGTTTGCCTTTACCGGTATTTTCTATGTTCAGATTCAATCTAAGAGGCTCTTAAATTTTAACATTTATCGCCATTTTCAAAAAAATTATCTATTTTAAATATATGTAAAATTTTGTTATTTTTGAAAAGCATTCTTATTATTATAAATATGTATCGTATATTGACATAAATTTTAAATAAGATAAGCAGTATAAGTAACGTACAATATTTTGATGAACATTTGTCATTTTGCAACCAAGTCCCATTCGCAAGACAATCAAATGTTATTTTTTCTGGTTGATAGCCAACGCCGCACTTTGCAGTCAGTACAGTACCATTAAAAGAATCAAAAGATCCATATTGTATTGTCGGTTTACCACAAGCTGTAATTATAAACAAAATAATATTAAGTTTTCTATGGATGTTAAGTTTTGATTATGAAAATCAGAAAAATTGTATTCCTTCATCGGGATCAATGGCTACAGTTAAAGGCTAAAAAATTGCAGACTTTGTTTGTTTGGGATTGTTCGTAAGAAAAACAATGAAAAGTGAAATATCTCTCATGATCCCTAGCAAAGGCTTAAAACGGTATTCAATCCTCAAAATGGTATTCATGCCTCAACACTTAAAGTTATGGAATAAATAATCCTGAAGGATCAGATAAATGTAACACAGACTGAAATTCCTAAGGTTCAAGATAAAAAATGTAATCAAGTCAATAAAAACAAATCATGTCATGAGCAATTCCAAAACTATTCCAGAATCTTTTGTTTTGAATGCTTAAGATTTAAATAAAAAGAGGGTGGTGAATAAATCTTCATTATGAATGGTGGTTCTCGATGCATTTTCAGGTGCACATTTTGACCCTGAGTATTACATATTGCAGCAGTGATCCAGTCTCTAATTACCCATAATCATTGTGTGTCAATTTCTCATATTTTATTTTTCATATCCCTTAAGCCCATTACCCACTCTCCATACTCACGATAGATTATTGATTAAATTTCTGCCTGAACTTTGTTTTTAAACTAGCCAACTCACGCATTAGGGAAGGTAGCAATCCGTGCAAATGGCATGATGTTAGAGAATGATCCATCGACGGTGTTTGCCTTTACCGGTATTTTCTATGTTCAGATTCAATCTAAGAGGCTCTTAAATTTTAACATTTATCGCCATTTTCAAAAACATTATCTATTTTAAATATATGTGAAATTTTGTTATTTTTGAAAGGCATTCTGCTGAATACAATATATACAAGTAAGTTAATTCATCACCATAATTATAATGGACCTCAGCAAGCCACGTTATATGTGTTTTGGTTGAAAATAAATGTAAATTGTTTATGTTTGAAAATACATGTAATACTATTTATCAATGACGTAGAACAAAAAGAAAAAGAAGATGCATATAATGCTTACGTGTACACACTAATGAAACATCATAATTGTGAGAGCAATAGTCTCGTCTTGGGGGTAGAAAACTACATTGATTTATATGAGTATTTGCAGAAGAACACCTTATAACACCGATGTATATATCACCTGTTCCTTGTCCGTAAACATAAGGATTTGGAAAGTAGTGTGTCAATCTACAATTCAATACATCTTATTTTTATAATCATAGTAACTGAAGTACTTAAAACAAGTACATATAATTCAGTGTAGTTGGAATAACTATATCCGTCGGCGAACAGCCGTAAAATTAAATTCAATCCCAACTATTCGTTGGTTAGCTTTAAGGATGGTTCCCATATATGTTACCTGAACAATTGCTCCATAATTGATGTTAATACTCGGAAGAAAGATTTTAAAGTAGGAAATACTATTTTTGAAACACGTTTAACAAAAAAACATATTTCTTACACGTCAAAAGACGCTGTAATCACATTTTATTTTATTTCTGTAATTGTAACTTTGTCGATGTTTTATCACGGCTGCCTTAATTTTCGATTGAGCGAAGAAATCCTTAAAAATAATTCTAACTTCCTTCTATAAGGCATTTCTCCCTATCTTTGGATTACAAAGACTTTTGTTACAAAGAACTACCATATTTAAATGCTTTATACTACTTACAACATGTTGTATTGTAGTATAGAACATTCATATTTACTATGATGCAGATGTACTTACGTTAAATCCATTGATTTACATAAAGTATCGGCATCATATTGTCCGATCTTTCTACTGCAAACAGTTCCCCAGCCATCAGCAATTTTAACTTCAACTCGACCGTCATATGGACCTGTTCCTCCGACAAGCCTAACTTCTGTTATATTATAAGGATATTCTAAAACAAAACAAAACGTCCGTACAGAAATTGCAGGAATGATGTTTAGTTGAGCTCGAACGCAATAACATCAGTGTCATTCAAGTTAACTTGTTTATTATTTGATTATTTTAGTGAAAATACTGAATTTGAGCCGAGTTATAAGCCATAAAACAATAAGCATATAATAAATTTATGTAGATTTACAAATTTACGAAATGGGTGCAATGAAATCAGTTTTGTACTCAGCAATGTAAAATGACCTCTTTTTAACACCACAAGTTCTTCAAAAGAGAAAACTTGCCAAATGAATTATTGTCAATAAATGAGAGTTTTAACCAACTAGAATTTAAATGCTAAAAATCGTCTAAAAATATCAAATTAGTGTTTTTTTAATACTATGATGTCCTGTGAGGTTTGGTGTGTAAACTTAAGAAAATTCTGCATTTTGAATCATGATAACATTTTGGCACAAAAGATAGAAACTCTCAAAGGGTCATGTTTTATATAGTTTATTGATCTGTATTGATTTTTTCAAAAATACATTTACGCACCAATTTGTTTTTTATATATTGACAAAGTTTGTACGAATACGTTACAGTTCGTTTATTTTGCATCTACTTATTGCTTTTAGATAAACCATATATAGTAATGTTCTGGAATAGTTGCACACTTTAACACCTGTTGCGTTAACAAATTGTGTATACTATGTTTTCATACGTTTTGAATAAAGCCATTTAAGCGGATAATCTTTTGACGATAAGCAACTGTAACGGGTAAAAACGTATTTTAAGTCTGAACGCGAAAAATCATTACAGTATTGAAAATTGAGAAAAATCGTTGTAGGTGTTTTCGGTAAAAATAGCCCTGGTTCTGAGAAAAGAAAAAGTGTATACGTATCAATACGCTATAGCATTTCGCTGTATAATGGACCAGGTGTCCAAATGATACGGAGTGGGTTAAATATGATTTTCTGGACTATTAAAAGAAAAACACGAAGCTAAATGTTTAAGATTTGATCAAATACTGGTAGTGATTTTCAAATAGGAAGATCATATTGTGTAAACGCTGAAAAGTACGTTGTTTCGTTTGGACAATCGTGATTTTTTTCGTCCTTAACCGCGGTTTTCATCATGGAACCATTGTAAAACGCGTGTATGGACGAAATAAAAAATCACAATCATTGTTCAAACGGAAAATCGTAAAAAACATGTCTGGTTTTGATGAATAGGACATAGATATCAGCTAAGTTATTAAAAATACATCATTCAATGTCTAATGCAGTGGACAAAAATGATAAAAAGCATTAGATTAATAAACCCTGATTATTGTATTAAAGATAAGAAAAAAGAGACTTAGATGAATAATCTACAACTTAAAAAAATATTTTCAAATATACTCCAAAACATACGTTTACAATTGAAATTATAGAAAGAAAGTCTCATTATTTTGCAACTCTGTCAAATTAATTTCTCTCTTCAGCTAATTTCATTGCAATTGTATGTTATAGCTCCTATACAGAAAACTATGTAGTCATACAAACAAAACCATTTACAGAACTTACTACACTCAACGTCGATTGGATATATACTCGAACACGTTTGACGAACATCGTATAAACATTCGTTTATGTGATCCTCCGTTCCTATACAATCAAGATTGTCTAAATGATAAAGGTTTGAAGTGCTTGTTAACTGATTCCAAGAATCGTATCTGAAGTAGCTGAAATCGAAATAATAAAGGCACTTGCATATCATATATGTCCCATGAATGACATCTTCTGATGTTCATAATTACATTTGTATAATTATCATACCTTTATGAAACTCTAAATGTTGCGTATTTCATGTATTTATTTTTTTTTTGGAAGGGGGTCTTTAAAGTTTAAAGATATTTAACACTGGTTTGAATCATAGTTAATAATTTACGTTCGCTAATTACAAATTCAATTTGATCCTATACAATATAGTATATTTTTAGTATATATTACTTAAATCCGAGCATCCTGCATATCACTTTTGCATTGCTGCTTTCAAAGCTGTTACGACAAATCTGTCCCCAAGTGCCATTGACCTTCAGCTCGACAATACCATCAGTTAGACCTATACCACTGACAAGCCGTAGGCCAGTAATGTTCAAGGGATACCCTGTAAAGAATCATGTTATCTATGGGTGGATTTTTACATTTCAATATTAACAAAAAATACGGCGATTCTATTTCGCGCATGTGCAAAACAATTAGGGCTGTCTGTCAGTATCATAAAAATTTATTTAACATTCTGACCTAATCCATACAGTTTATTTTGTATTCAATTCATCTGATGTTAAACATATAAATGGATGTAAATGCAACCTTTTATTTAAGCGTTTAAATGTCAGCTAACCTTATGGATTACATCAGAATTATCTTTAAGAGTAATGTCTTACAATTAACGTGGTTTGATATCAAAACACAAGGTTTTTTTTCTATCAATCATTATGTATCAGAAAAACTATTCAGGTAATTTTCTTAGGTAATTTTCTAAGTGGAAGCAGAAGACTTAGAATTTTAAATATTTATGACAAGTGAATTGCATTATTTTACATATTTGTTACTGTAAGCGGCGTTCTGTATTTAGCTGGTATATATGACTATATGTAATAAAAAGAGCACCGAAACACGAAGCTATCTGATTTGTACGAGGGGGTGTAGCCCACGGGTGTTTATCAGATTGCCGAGTGTTTTGGTGTTCTTCCTCTTTTGAATCAGAGTCAAACATGTATACGATTTAACTCTGACGCATTTTCAACAGAAAGATCTCTAAACTATGATACAAATCAAGCTTAATGTTGGTCTTACCATATTAAATGTACGAAATATCAAACAACGGTAGTGTGTATTTATATGTGCTTGTGATAGCAAAAATGGTTTAGGCGAAAGAAACCACATAAATTCAAGGACAAAACACTTAAAAACGAGATAGATGACAACCCCACTCTCTTTCCCATCGTTTTTTCCTAAAAATATTTCTATTATCATATTCTAAGATAATTAAAGGTTTAAATACATTTTTTTAAGTAGTTTTCAATCTGGTTAATGTCTTTATGTAACCCTAGTATGCACCTTTAAACATAAATCTAATTTTCTAGTTATATTGCAGGGGAAAGACTAAAGAAATGGCGTTGGCGAGGCTATTAAATCGATTGAAGAGAAGCTAACATCTGACATACTCACACAATAAAAGAAAATCAAAATGAATAAATGTATGTCCTTCCTCTTAATGCACAGCACAATCAAGTGCATTTCCGTTAACATAATAAATCCAGAAAACAATTGGTACTTACCAGATGTTGCACACGTAATGTCGTTTGACCATGTTCCATTAGTTTGGCATACACTTGTGTGTGTGTTTGTCTGGTAGCCAGTAACACAAGACGCTGTGAGAACCGAACCATTTGATGATATTAAGTAAATGATTCCATTTTTAATGTCGATTTCCCCACATTCTGTCAATAAAATGAAAAGACCATTCATTGTCACTAACAATTTTATATACGTGTATGTGTTTTATGAACTAGCCTCTCTTGATAGTGTTACTTTCTTATGGTTATGTAATAATATACCTTTTACTTTTCATATTGTTACTAATCATTATAATATGGAAATGATCAGTATACGTTAATAGGAATTTTTTGTAACGGGAAAAGGGAAGAAGTTTAATTGCTTTGTAAATTTATGCACTTGTTGGTCGAAACAGATAATATTTGATATGATTTTTCTAAAGTTTTGGTGACTCCCGATTTTTATTAAAGATAACTAACATTTTCTGAGAACGAATCTGTACCTGTGCAGATTACCCCAATGTCCCGTGAATGAGAACAAAAAGTATTGGGGTCGAAGCGACAATCTCTAAGGTGACTTTCATGTCCATAGCAACGAAACCTTTGAGCAAATACTGGCCCTTTACCTTGCCCATAATGTGCTCCTGTAAAGAATGATGTTGCTCTAAAATGGAAATTAATATTTTAGCATATAAAAAGCCTTTAAAAAAGTTTTATCTAACATTTAAAATGGTTTCCAAAACAAACCTATTGTAACATAAACGGAAATGTTCAGGTCTGTTTAGAATACAAATGCAATATAAGATTGAGACATTTGACAGGAAAAAAAAGTAGGTTACAAAATATGATATGATACAAGAAGATATTGCAATTGTGTTCATGCAATTATCAAAATTTAATCAAGAAAAGATAAAGAATACTTTACTGAATAACTAAAACGTACGACGTAAATAGAAAAGAAAATAGGTGATGAGTTACATATGGAGCTTACACAGGTCTCTGCAGTGGTCTGGAGAGTTTTTAGCTGTCAGTTCCCATCCAAGGAGGAATTGGTTTATTTTTATTACAATTGAAAGAAAAATATACAGTGTGTTTGTTTAACAAAGCGAGGAAGCATATTGATGAGATAATTACAAAATTTAATATAATGAACATACGTCAGATTCAGTGTTCTACATATAACCTTGGCATCATCCATGTCGAAATTGTCATCACAGATTGTTCCCCAAACACCGTCAACCTTGATCTCAACACGTCCGCTAAATGTACTATTGCCATCTACAAGTCTTACTTCAGTAATGTCCAAATAATCGGCACCTGATTATTGATACAAGTGATAATTTTACTTTAAGATGTCTTTAAGTAAATTGTAACAGAATCACCATTGAGTATTTGCAATAATCTACAGGTCTACGAATTTAGCAGCTATAAGTATACGATTCGCAATAGCTAGCATTTGAAATAGTAGTACGCATTATTTTCTTTAAACATTTTCTTTGACGACTAAGTCAAAATATTTTGGATAATGTTAGAGTATATCGTAGGTGATTGATACTTGTAGCTTTCGAATGCGCGCGCCTTTGATAGTTTTTATAGTATAAAATGTTCACTCATTGTCCAAACAAATATTGGAATGAAAAATAAAGAGATCTTTGAATTATGTTCAAAATAGCTTTTCAATGTTTTGTTGAGAAATTGTAATTTCCAAACATTTCTAACTCCATGTCAAACCTGACACGGGCAGAAAACCCATCAAGCAAGAGCATAAACAAACGACAACAATAAAACATAAACAAAATGATAATTAATACAGACATAATTTATTACTTATTTGAAAGTAATTAATTATCAGATACCTGTTGTTGTGTGGATTGACGTCAGCAGAAACAACAGCATAAACGTTATCTTCCACATTTTAGCTGTAAAAAGATACAAATAGATTTTTCTTCTGACTAGTTATACTTTAACTTCACAAACATGCATAGTAACATGAGAATACAGCGTATTTGCATTCAAAGAAAATGGGTCTCATCTACAATATTCACCGGCCAAAATTTACAGCGAATACAGCCTATTTCATTTCAAACATTTACATGTACTATTTATAAATTGAATAATAAAACAGATATGTACTTTTTTAGCTTGTGAATATAATGTGACATGTACTGCAAAATTAATATTGACCTTGGCTATCATATTCACCAGCTAAAAAGTCCATATTTGTATAATATGCTTGTATAATACAAAAGAAAACGACAATGTTCACGCTATGATAAATATATTCAACAGTTAAACGTGTGTATTATAAAAAAATATTGAGTCAGCAAATAAAATATAATTATTTTGTTTTGAAACATTGTCATCTCTTATGTAAAAAAATATTTAAGATATTTTGTTTTGAAACATAGTAATATCTTATAAAAAAATATTTTATATATTTTACATTCTGATGAAACGAAATACCTTTAAGTATCTACTCCATATTCTATATCTCCATCAAAGTTGATCGCCTAATTTATTTGCATTTGTAAATCATATACTTATATACTCAAGTAATGTGCAATTTGTTGCCAAGTGATAGAAAAATATCAACCATTTTATTGGTTGTTGCCAAATGATAAAAACAAAATATTATTGAATAAAAATGTTATATTCAAAGCGGCAGTTCTTTATATTAATATTTGCAATTATAAGTTTCATTGGCACGTAAAAATCCATACAAGTTTTGTTTGTCAAACCCATTTCACATTTCTGATGCGTGGGTAGTTGAAGTCTTTGACTAACACCCGCAAAATTAAGTCTTGCACCAACTAGACAATGAACCATTATACATATTATGATATTGAAGAAGTCTTGTACACTGCATGTTCTTGGTATTCATATTTACTACTTATACACATGACATATGAACGTTATTTATATGGAAAGAAGCACACGTTATCGTGATTTTAATCCCTGTTAGATTTATAAGGTTTTTCAGAAGGAATAACAACATACAAGAAACATGATAACAAAAAGTTAAACAGTACCGAATAACAATACAACATTTATATCTTTTTTTGAATTACGGATTATCAAACAGAATGCAAATAATTGATAAATTTTGAGACTCATGGAATCTGCAGCAACTAAAACCATAATAATGCTTCAATATATAACAAAAACAGGCAAGAACATGCTCAAGCGAACATATTTTTCTTTGGTCTTCTCTTAAACAAGGATGCATGGTACACAATGGCATTGGACCACGGCCCAAAAGAAATTCACATAATCTCCAATTGGAGATAGATATTAACGAGGTATGATCAAAAAGCTCTCGGCCCGATATACTTCTAGCCACTACACTGACATTGACATACAATACGTTGATACCGATATCTTATTGAAGATTACTGACCGATTCACACGCAGTTTTACACAGAAAAAGTCACATAAAACATACTTTGACCGGTAGAGGGGTGTGTCCTTTAGACCTTATGACGAAAGTTGAAATCAGAACCGTCATTAAGTACCTCTGTTACAAAGGTAAGTACTCCAAGGAATCCATGAAGACTTCATGGATACACTTGGGACGGAGTCCCCCTCCTATAGCTCTGTGAAACAAATGGGCTGCTAAATTTAAGAGGGGCAAGGAGAGCATAGGAGATGATAAGCGACTTGGGCGGCAAAAGGAGGCCACCAACGATGAAACTGCCGGAATTGTGGACGATCTGGTCATGTGCGACAGAAGGCGAGATCTACTAGGGAAGTGGGTATAAGCTTTAATTCAGTTCAGGCAATTCTGACTGATGTATATGGCATGTCAAAGGTTTCCACTAGAGGGGTCCCCAGACAGTTGACTGCCGACCAGAAACGGACCATGCTTGACATTTCAAGTTATCTTTTATCTCGCTACGAGGATGAACCTGATTTTATCTACCGGATCGTAACTTAGGATGAAAAATGGGTCCATCATTTCGATCCAGAATCCAAATGAATGAAGTGGAAGCACCCTGGCTCAGCCCCTCCGAAGAAATTCAAGAGGGTGCCATCAGCAGGAAAAATGATGGATTTAATTGTTTGGAATAGTCAAGGGATAATCATGATTGACTTGGGCAAGGTCGTACCACAAACAGTACGTACTATGCAGACAAATTGAGACGTCTGCGTCAAGAAATCGCGTGTAAAAGTAGGGGCAAACCGACTCAATGCGTTCTGCTCCTGCACAACAATGCGCCAGTTCACACACCCCAAGTTGCGATAGCTGCTGCAACTGATTTCAGCTTTAAAATCCTTCCCAACCCCCATTTTCTCTGGACTTGGACTCCTCTTCTACCTGTTTCTGATATTAAACACCAAGCATCGTGGTAGATGTTTTAGAAGCAATGATGGTGTCGTGGAGGCGGTCAATGAGTTCTTGAGGACCAAAATAGAGAGTTCTATTGTGAAAGGTTAAACAAATTTGAGTACAGGTGGGCAAAGTGTATTGATGTAGAGGGCGATTATATTGAAAAGTAAAAGCATTAGTTAGATTCTCTGACTACCGGAAGTACATCGGGCTAAGAAATTTTTCTCGTATATGCTCCACATTTTTTTTACATTTAGAAGTCTATAATAATTCATAGGATATGTTTATTTTGTGCAGTATACTAGATAAAATTTTATATTGGTGAACTGACAAAATACAGTTTTTATTTTACAAAACGCACTTTTATTTATAAAAACTGCTTTGCTTTGAAATGAAACAATATGTCCTTATCACAATGTTTAACTATAAAGAAAAACAACCAAATGCAAATATTTGTTATTGTTATGTTGCTTTGACTTATTTTAGTTATAGCACATTTGGAACGAGAAGATGCAAAAAATATAAGATACGATAAAAAAAATCTTAAATTACAATCATCTCGTGACAAATATGGTAATAGATAACAGTGTTTTTTGCAGTTTAGAATATCTGACTACGGTTCAGCGTTGAGATGTACTTAGTATATATATAAATGTGATAAAACCTTTATGCACTGTTCTCAATGCATCATGTCTATGTCATGTGTTGTGCTTTTATTGTTCAAACACGAATTATTCTTGCTTGGAAATGGAAGAATGAAAAATCACAATACGTTCAGGTATTAGAAAGTAAATTATAAAACAAAATGAAAAAAAAAGAAAAGAAAAAAAGAAGAAAATGCCGAGCAAGAAAATGATGCATCAATAACTCATTTATATCTACTAAATAAGATAATTCTACTACCCGAGACTATTAGAAAGTGTATGCCTTAAAGTGAAAAATGTTTGCCCTTAACCTAGACCGATTGTGAATTTAGAGCGCAAAGAATATTATATTACTGTTGGAGATTATTACTGCAAAAATTGTAAATTCGGCATCATAATCGGGGGTTGATCAGTAATTTATTTCATTTTGCCTCTGTAATCAATTAAATTCAAAACAAAACAGAAGAGAACGTTATTTTCCTTTGATTTGTACATAAATGCAGTACAATATCATGAACCATTGATCAAAATGTATAAACAATACATTTACAATACTTATTTTCAATTAATGAAAACAAAATTTGATATCAAAGTGTTGAGGATAAACTTTTAAACGTCATTTAATTTACATGTTTACATAAAACGGTATAAGTTTTTGTTGATTTGAAATAATGCAATTACTTTGAGAGAGTAATTGGTTGATAACCTAACAAAATTATTTATGGATTAAAACTAAAAATTCCAGAACGAGGCTGGCACACGCGTTCAGAAAAAGTAAAAGGTTTAATTCCTCCTTCCCCTCATGGGGGTTAAAATTTGTCGATATTTTATTATCAAGTCAATAAATATCAATGTCAAAAATATTTGCAAATAGTTTCGACTAAGCCGGTCACAGTAGCCATATTACTGGTAAAATGATAAGCTGATTTACGATGACGATTATTATGTGTCATTGGTTATAATATTGTTGTTGTTTTTGATGATGATGTTTTATTAACGTTGATGAAGGTAAAGACGATGATAATGTTAGTTTACTGTGTAAAGTGTGTAACATATATGGTCAGGCATTTACTACAAAATTGCGGAAACGTATATGGCACGTAAAGACAGCGTCGAATATATCCCTTAATAATGATATATACGTTCCGTGACATATACAGTCCTACAGCGCACAATCGGCCTTTAGGTAGTTCTGTGTTAAATCTGATAGTAATCAATGTCAGTTAAATTGTTATCATAATTACTGAATGAATTTAAGTTGTAATTGATCAATTACAACGAATATAATCAATTCTGGACTGGACAAGGTAATCAATTACATGATGTTAACCGTGTAATTATGCAATCGACAACAAAATAGCGATAAACGATTACCACAGGTCTATCCCAGGTAGATTCATCCAAAAGGACACACATAGGATTTGGTATGTGTACACCACTTGTTTGTCTTCTGCGTACATTTGCGTACGTTCAACGATCATGTTTTGTTGCAAATTTGAAATTATTTCGTAATTCAAAAATAAAATGTATATTCAGTACAGATATTGCGATATTTTGTTTCAGTTTTTGTCAACTAAAAGGACACTTGAAAATATAAAGTTTGAAAAGAAGACAACCGTTGGACTTCGGCCAAATTGAAGCTGCGATACAGGTACAGTATACATTCTTTCTTTATCTATTTAAAAGCTTAAGATGGCAGTAAAAGCAACTGTTAAGAGTCTTGTCGGATACACAAGTTATTTTAAACTATACTGTTTCTTGGGAATAAGTTAATTAGCTAATACAAAATAACGTGAATATTTCACAAGAAGACTGTATCCTGGAAAACATTGAATAAAATTAAACATCAAAATGTCTTTGAGTCCTTTTTTAGTTAAAGTGGTGTAAAATGCTATTTTGAATGCACAAAATGGACATGAAAATTAAAAGCAACGGCAAAAATCCTTACTGTAATCCATTAGCGGTCTCGTTAAGCTTATATAATTATCAAATGTCGGTTCTTATACCTGTTTTCATATTTATGTGTATGTGTGTCTTCTTTTGTTTGAGTAGCTTGAAGGAGAAATGTAACGGTGTTTTTATTTTTGGTTTTTGTTTTCGTTATATATATTTTCCTTGCATTGCAGACTGGCGTTTCCGTTAGTTGTACCCATGCTAGAAATTTCATCTGGCATGAAGGATGCAGGATGCCAGATAAATCGGCTTCCATACAACAATGTCATTTAAGCGCATATTATGAAGGAACCGCGCTAAATTGACGTCATTTCGGTGCATTTTAGAAGGTAAATAAATGCTTAAGATGACATGATTTCGCCGCTGTTATTAAAGTTGTAAGAAAATAGTTATAGATGATGAAATTAATTTCCACGAACAAATATCTTATTGAGGTAAGCCAATTTAAATGTGAAATAATATGACAGAATATGCAAGAAAAAATATCTGACATATGGTTCGGATCGGAATATCTGTCCCTCGGGAACCTGCCCATGGGCGGTAACTCGACAAGCCTCGTTACTGCCCCAATGAGCGATGTCACCTTCGGGACATATATTTCAATCTGAACCGCAACACATGGCAGATATCATTAATAGATCACATTTATGTCATTGTTGCTCTTTATCTTTAATCTCCAATTTGAACAACAAGGAAGTGGACTAAATCTTGGGTGTCGTTCTATGTCACGCCGACTGCTTTCAAGATATGGAATTTTAGTTGGAAGGTAAGCTTAATTGTGACTTTTTAATCTTCATTTGTAATTAATTTCAACTTATTTAAGTCCTTACTGGGCCTTTGTTGGTGCAAGGCTTTGTATGCTTAAAAACTACGATCATGAGTTATAGATAAACATTATCACCGTCACAAAGCGTCACCGTATGAATTGACCGTTTATTTATATGGACTATAAGTACGATTTTAAGTTATAAAGGTATTTATACGTGTTAAAAATAATTTTTAAAAGTCCCTTAGTAACATCAAAAAAGTCTCCAACCTTTATAAAAATCAGCTCAAATTCGGTCTTAGATTAGACAACATTTAGTGATACATTGTACATTGAATTAAACGCCTGCTGATGGAGCGTAAAAAAGTGTAACTGAGGACTCCATATTCATGTCAATAGCTAGACATGTATATCATATGATAATGTCCTTTTTGAAAGCTAAAGCTGTTGCGCGATTTTTTACGTACACGGTTACGTTCAATACATGATAGTGATACCACAGTTCCGTCGCTTAAGTTGAATAATGAATTTTCACTTGTATTTAGTACAAAATGATAGCAGCTATCATCGAGCCAGTTTTCAGCCGATGTAATATTCTAACAACCTTTTTTACTGATACGATGACCTGTATACTCGTATACATATACTAAAAGATAAATAGAATGGTTTCTTACGTCAAAGGTTTTACTCGAGTACTCAGTCCTCATGTTATAATATGAGGGAAGAAGGCAAACAGGACATTAGACCCTGTCTCTTATTTTTTCGAAATCGACAACAACGAAACTAACTAAAACAACAAAAAACTTGTTATACAATATGTTCCATGTACGGGAACTTTCTGACTGGGAAAAACAAATACTGTCTATTTAGAAATACTACTCAAAATTTGCTAATGGTCACTTTTTCTACTTCTGTGTATTTTTAATAAATGTGATAATTGATGAAAAAGAATTAAATATAATTAGTAAGGAATTGACATTTAATAAAATAATGCCAACGAAAGTGTTCCTTGACGAGTACCTTTTGCGGAAAGAGTGTGCTGAAAGAAAATCAAAATTATGGAGATCATAATTATAGTGCACTTAAAAAATCTCGCAAATCAGGAAATGGTTAGCGTAGGTTGTTTAATACCGAGTGTGGTGTCCGCGGGCATAAATTACGGCCTGGCATCTGCGGACCTTGTAATGAGGAATCTGGCCCCATTCCTCTATGATCGCATGTCTTAGCTCCTGAACTGTTGTTGGTTGTACGTGGGGTAATAAATGCCTTTCTGCAGCATATCCCAAGCATGCTAAATTGGATTTTAATCTGTGGACCTCGCTGACCAATACATGCGGACTATAGTTGCCTCCTCAAGATATTGCTTTGTGACGTGGGTGTTGTCATCAATAAAAATGAAATCAGGGCCGACTGCACCAGAGCACGTGCGTACATGGACGTCTAAGTTTTCACTGACGTACATTACTGCCGTCAGTGTACTGTTTTTCAATGATGTGTAGGTTTGTTTTCCCCTGAGCGCTTATACCCGCGCACACCATGACTGAACACCCGCCAAAACAATCGTGTTCTGCAACGCATGCTGGAGCTAACCGTTCATTTGAACTTCCCCAAACACTACCCCGTCTGTCGTGCAGTTCACACAAAACCTTGGCTCATCAGTGAAGAGGACCGGGGTCCAATAATTAACTGACCATGTGACATGAGTCTGCGCCCATTGTAAACGCTCTTGAATATGGCGTTGTGTCAAAGAAATGCGAATTGCTGGCCTCCGTAACCTAAAACCAGCATCACGCAACCTGTCTCTAACAGTTTGTGTGCTTACACGCACACCAGTTGCATTCTGGAAGTCGTTACGTAATATAGAAGCGTTGGAGAACCGTTGGCGCCTGGCCTGATAGACAATAAACGGCTCTGGGCTTGAGTCGTTGAAAGTTCCCGACCTCCGGCGTGGCCCTGCAAGACATTTCTAGCCATTTGGAATCGGTTCCACATCCTGGAGACAACGCTCTGGGATACCCAAAGGACAAAGCACGGGAAACGTGTCTTTGTTAACGGTCAGCCTCCAACATTCCAATACCCCTGTTAATTTCATCTTCACTAAGACGACGTCTAACCTGTCGCTTTGCCATAGTTTATTATTTTCGAAGACAGTTTTACAATAAAACAAGAGAGAGAAGTCTTGCTGCTTGTACACGTTTAAGTGAAAGCACATGGCCCAAAACACCAAAACTACATGAGTATGCTTATCGTGCAAGGTGTACATGACAAATCGATTACTTAAGTACACAATTATGAAGTCCTCGTACAGGTGTATCGTTAGCGGAAAATTGACTTTAAGATGATGATAATAGGACTGGAATATGCAATGTCAAAAAGGTGATCCTTAGCAAATTTTGAGTTGTTTATAATGTTTGCCATGGTAAGACTCAAACTTGGGCCCTTCAGCCGAAAACCGTAACCGAAATAAGTAAATTTTTGCACAACATTAATTTTTTCATTATTATATAAGAACCCAACAGCCCAGAATTGAAAACCATTGTAACAGTCTTATCAACTTTAACAGTAAGTGCCAATTACAATATTTGTTTAATTTGTTAAGAAGTACTTGTAAATATGAAAATAACAGACTTGATTTTGTAGGATTTGTAAGCGCAAATAAAAGAGATTTCCCACATGGGGAAAATCTTTAAAAAGTAGTCAGTGTGAAATTATATTTGGATAATTTTCACTGTTAACAATTATCAAATATAATGTTCACGGATAAATCAGTACACAATATTTTAGCAAAAAATAAAGAAAGATCTCCTTCAAAGATAAATTTGCCTTTTTAAATGAATACATTAAATGTAAAATAAGAATTCAATTATATCTAAAAACGTACTTTATGCATTCATACTAGTAGTAAAAGCGAAGGGGATTTTTCTTCAACGCGTATGAATAAAATTGATTTATCGGTTAAAAATTCTGAAAACGTAATACATGTACCACTAATATTTTCGAAATTTTAAATGAATTAGAGAAATAAAATTAAACATACCTTGCGAGCTGACATGAGCTCTATCTTATCTAGTGCACGAATTATCAACAGTTTGTTTATCATACAAATATATAAGAAGCATCAAGCGAATGCAAATGTTTTTTTCCCTCCAGGTCAACCTCTTTTATATGGGAGAATGTAGGAGGGGTGATGAAAAATATCGCGGAAAGATGCTTCCTATTTCTTTTCTTAACACATGATATTCGTGAAAATTCTACTGAGTGGAGATTAATTTCATACAAGCATTTATCATTCCTTGCTCAATTTACACATTTGATTACAAAATTACACGCCTTTAGAAAAGTACTCGTCTTAAAAAAACATTTTCAAAGTTGACGCCAACAAAATATTGTATGTCGACTCAGACTATGGGCTTGTGAACAAATCTGCGGATATTTTTCTGCTTTTCAAATCCTTAATTTAAACGTTGAAATTTGGTATTACCGGACATTCCGAGACTGCTATATTTTCAATTATGAAGCATTGATAATTGGAAGATAAATAACAACAAAATTAAGAGAATCCAGATTACCATAAACAACACCATGCATATCATGCTGCTCGATCTTGCGTATGGACGTATGGAAAGACATTTTACAACAAGCAGACGACACAAACAACGCTGATGTTATACTTAGATACAACAAGCAGACGACACAAACAACGCTTATGTTATACTTAGATACGTTGAATGAGAAGCTTTAAAGGTCCCCTGACTTACCATAATTGAAACTGTTGCAACAACTTGTTCCTGTACAACAGTGCTTAACGCAATTTACCTTACATGACTCATACAGCCGAATAGTTTAACATGAAAATGTCGTAATTTGGAAAAAAGTTTAATCTGCAAACGTGTTTCTTACGGCGGCAAGACACTCCTTGACTTGTGAACACTAATACGTCAGGTTGACTTTCAAGACTGGCGATACTGATCGTTACGGCTTGTATAATTTTCATTTGATTTTAGCTATCGTTGGTAACTATGGGAGCACAATCCTTTTGTTTCTGACTCGATTTTAGTCATTTTTATATCTTTATTATATTTTTTAGACTCAGTCAGCAGTTACAGAGAGATTACTTTTGGAATTTGTCTTTTACGTTGAGACCATGGGTCCACAAACATTTTGATCACCCCTGAGGTTTTATGTTGTACAACTAGTAATATGCTCATAATATTTATTGAAAATAAGCTAACATAAAGAAAAATAAATCAATTGGCCCGGGGAGTTTAGGTTGTAATTCATAATGTGGCTGACATCAGGAAGTCAAAATACCGGTATCTTATTTTATTTTCACCACTGCTGTCGCAGTTCTAATTGTCATGTCTGTAACTTGATCAGGTGAATGTAACAAAAACCAACATAATTTTAGGACAGATATATTTACAGGGTTGCATCAGAAAGCGAGCGATTTTCAGCTTTTACGGGCTATCCATAACACACTATCATTATCCACAGTGGGCTAAATACAGACACATTCATGGGCGTTCTGTTCCGCATTTAAATTTTTATTTCAGATTATGGTATAGTCAGTGCCATTTTCTGCATTTCCATCGGTAAACATTCAACTTGTGAAATATGTTTGTAAGTATAGAATACCTTCAGGTACATGCAAGGTTAGTTCAATAATAATTTAGCAATATTATTCCAGTTTTGTCCATAACAGTGGGTAGAGCTTTGGAAACGCTTCCCCCTTCGACGTATTACTTCGTGAAACGAAAGTGTTGTCCTGATAACATTATTTTAACTACAAATGAAAATTCAATCTTTTATTATCTTGATCCAACTTTCTGTTATCTGTTTCTGTTTCTTTTATAAGCCAATGTAATGATCTGTCTGACATGCTGCTACAGTTATTAATTGTTTCATTTTAAGGTTCCAAAAATCAAGGATTTAAAGAGACACGGGTTTTTTTGCCATGAAGGGACTTGAGATTAATATTCTGTTTGATGTAGGCATTGATCAATAATTTGTTTGCGAAATTTAAAATCATTTGCTCGCTTCGTTTTTCCAGAATTATTATTCTAATTGTGAAAAATGACCCAAGATTAAAGAAAACTTTTCAATGCTTTCCTTACAAATCGGGCTGAAAAAGTTCAAACATATGATTTTCTATTTATTTCTTAGTTAATATCTTCATTATCTTTCTGTTTTATTTCCTCCAGCTGATTTATGTAAGAAAATCAAAATTTTTGTTTTAGGCTTTTGGACTTCAGTTGAGTTCCGCTAAAGGAACTCCACTAAGGTCTAATATCCCGAAAGTATAAAATTTGAAATTTGTTTCATAAATCAACGGATGCACTTCAGTCAATTTGTGCAATAAAATTGATTATCCTTTGAAACCGAAGTGAGCATTGTGTACACGAGTTATTGGTTCACACCTACATAACGTTTAAAAAATATATTTATTCGGTCTCGTCATTTAAAAAAAACAACCTCAGACACATTATCACATTTACAAATATCCAAGTATTTATCTAGCTAAGCAATGCAATTGACTGTTACCTGAATAAATTATGTTGAGTTGACTCTTCAAATGAATATAACAAATACACTCAAAACATAAATATGCAAATGTACCAAATCGGTATTCAACCTTACATAATCATTGACACTGAAAGAAAGAAGAAACACAACAACGGATCGAATAAAGGGAAGTGAAACACCAGTAGCACTTAGACTGTGAATGTTTGATGCAGCAATTTACACAACTATTATCACGGCTATATTTTCCATTGACAGTATTGATAGATGAACATTTAATGACCATAATATCTCTTATTTGAAGTGAGTTTAATCATACAATTTTACTATATTGTACAATTTTTCTAACGTTTTAATTGTAACATAAAGAAAACATTAAATACAAAACAACATACAGCTTATACAGAAAAGGAAACTTGTATGTTACTAGTATGATACAAAAAATATTTAATAATATTAATGATGGCTTTTAAACAAAACATATTTATAAGACATACCCATGCCGTTTTTTAACTTCATTTTCACTATTACTATTTAAGCAAATTGGAGTTGTTTTTTTTCTTTTACAATATGATAGAAAGCAGAAAATATTTTACAGTAAGCGAGGTGCAGTTATAAACTATATACACTTGCAGTTTTACGTGAGTTTAATCATACAATTTTACTCTATTGTACAATTTTTCTAACGTTTAACATGAAACATAAAGAGGACATTAAATACAAATCAACATACAGCTTATACAGAAAAGGAAACTTGTATGTTAATAGTATGATACAAAAAATATTTAATAATATTAATGATGGCTTTTAAACAAAACATATTTATAAGACATACCCATGCCGTTTTTTAACTTCATTTTCACTATTACTATTTAAGCAAATTGGAGTTGTTTTTTTTCTTTTACAAAATGATAGAAAGCAGAAAATATTTTACAGTAAGCGAGGTGCAGTTATAAACTATATACACCTGCCCTAACCTAGTTATAATAAATTAACATATTTTGAAATTTACATAAAATATTGTCTCCTCACAATAATAAAGCTCTTTTTATCCCCGAATATGAATAACATTTTTTTCACATTCCATTGCGTGTCGGCTTCTACTTAATATCGTCTTTCAAATTTATGTCATTAATTTCCTCTGGCACGTTAAAAATAAGTCAATATACATGTTTTCTCCTACAAAGTAATGTTAAATCGGTAAAGAATTTGGAAAATCAGGAAGTTGTAAAAAAAGGATTCCCTTTCTAGTAAGATGAGAATATCGTACGATATAGTACTTTAACAACATACTAAGTGTGTTTACTTCAATAAAATTAATTTTTACTTTTTATTTATTTTTTTTATTTTAGATTTTGATTACTTGTAACAATACAAATTGATTTCTATAAAAGTTCATGATTTATTTAGCATATGTTTATAATTTAAAGAGAGCTCGACAACTTCCTATTGACGGACAGACAGGCCAAATGAGGCTATCAATTATAAGTTATTGTCTGATTTTATTAACCGGTCAATTATGAATACATTATAGCACTCTTTTAAATATTCGATTCCACTTCGGTTCTGTCCGTATAGTTTACGAGAATTAATAAATTATGGAGTATATGAATAATGTTTTGAAAAGTCACACTATCTTAATGTTTACGTTCTGGTCATATTCGCAATAGCACAGCCGGTTGAATATGAGAGGTCTCTGGTTCGATCCCTACTTCTGAAATTGTTTTAGACCTGTTCTTTTTATTTTTTTGATATATTGCTTGCAAAATTGTATACACGAATATGAAACAGCTTAGAAATACTGATTTGTCTGTTTTGTATTGAAATTTACGGCATTGCACTCACATTTATTGATTTTCCTGATTTTAATATAAATGCTATTTAATACTATTATGGCCTTTATCAAATAATTGCAAAACATATTTAAAAAAAACTAAAAAGAACAACTTTAAAAAATGATTAAAACAATCATACCTTCAATAATGTTGAAGATATAAATAAGAAAAAAAATATAGACATACGCGCTGGCGATCATACAACACGTCTAACATTAAGAAATAAACCGGTAGTTTACCCTTTTGAGGTATAACGTCAGTTTAACTATTTCATAGAATCAAATTAAATGTAATCACATCATACTGCGTACATCTCACGACTTTCATCCAACATTAAACGAAGATTAATATATTGTGTGCATGGACCGTATAATCAGTATGCATTTGACAGGTTAATTTAATTAAATCTAACAATAACTATACTGGACACACTTTCAAAATAGTTGTGTTATTTTATCTTCTTTTTAAAAAATCTTTTTGATCAGATGATAAAGTAAGAGCGGGAAAATGACTTTAACGACTGCTTATCACGGTGAAGCTCGATGTAGACAGGGTCTTTCAAATAGTCTATTTGAAAGACCCTGATGTAGCTTACGGGTTTGAATTTAAAAGAGGTGTAACAGAAACTTACGTGTGTTCAAGATAATCTTTTATGTGACATTTAAATAAAGGTAAAAGGAGATCGCTCGAGCACAATCAAAACCAAAATTTATTGGAGGACTCGATTTTGATCGTGTTCCAGTGAAACAATGAAAACGAAACACATCGTGTCCTTTAGCAGCAGCTAACAATTTCACAATACACTAAA